TTTTGGGTGTTGTGGTTTGCAAAAGAGGCACTGAGTGGCAATCATGTTTAGTCCATAGTCTACTTTCGACATGCATCTCCCCTCCTGGGAGGATCCTCCAAACACCCTTTATTTGGTGCTCCCTTCTCTATCAGAGCTGCCCTTTCCCCTAGAATGCCCGGCTGGGAACTCACGTTACTTTTTAATTTTTTTAAAATGGAATATCCATGAGATAGACCATTACAAAGCTGTTCATAATTGAACTTCAGTCATACAATGATCCAGCACCCATCCCTCCACCAATGCACACCTCCCACCACCAACGTCCCCCGTTTTCCCACCACTATCCTCCACCCCCTACCCCTACCCCCAGCCTCCCTCTATGGGAGGCACTTTCTTCTTGCTCTCTCTCTCTCTCTCTCTTCTTTTATGCATTATGGTTTGCAATACAGGTGCTAAGAGGTCATGGTGTTTGTTCAGGGCATTCAGTATTTTCATCGGGACGGTAAGGCTGGAGTAGCTTTTCAGTTGGGTGGCAGCTTTGGGGTGTGGATGTGACAGCCAAGGCTTCTGGAAGTACAAGAAGTGGGGGAAGGTAGCCCATCCCAACCCTGAGAAAGTCTAGAGATTTCAGTCACAAAACCCGCACACCAAAATTTTCAGCAGATTATAAATTGGTGAGGTCTTTCCTGAGATGGTAGAGTCAGGACAGGAGTACGGCAGCGATTTTGGATTGTGGAATCAAGTGGCTGCCGGGGGCTCTGCTTGGGTACAGGCCAACCCCCACCCCCCCCGATTTACCTTGGTTTGTTCAGCTATGTGTGGGTCCAAACTTAATTGTGGCTTTTATTTCTGTCAAGATTTGTGGGCTGGAGCGATAGCACAGCGGTAGGGCGTTCGCCTTACACGCGGCCAACATGGCCGACCCAAGTTCGATTCCTCCGCCCCTCTCGGAGAGCCCGGCAAGCTACCGAGAGTATTCGATATGCCAGACACAGTAACAACAAAGTCTCCAATGGAGACGTTACTGGGCCCGCTCGAGCAAATCGACGATCAACGGGAGGGCCTTTACCTCGAGCAAGATTTGTGGGTCTCGGGGCTGGAGAGATAGCACAGCAGGTAGGGCGTTTGCCTTGCACGCGGCCGACCCAGGTTCGATTCCCAGCATCCCATGTGGTCTCCTGAGCACCGCCAGGAGTAACTCCTGAGTGCAGAGCCAGGAGTAATCCCTTTGCATCGTCAGGTGTGACCCAAAAAGAAAAAAAAAAAGATTTGTGGGTCTCTGAAGCAAGGCTGGTAGTAGAGCTTACAGAGTGGTGCTGGAGTTGGTTCATGGGGGTGAATGCCAGTGCTTCCATGAGTCTTGGGAAGTCGGGGGAGGTAGCTCACCCCAACTCTGGGAAAGCCTGGAGATTTCAGTCACAAAACTCGCATACCAGAATTTTCAACCTCTGGTGAGGTTCGTTGTGAGACGGTGGAGTTAGGCCAGCGGTACGTGGTGATGTTCGATTGTGGAAGCAAGTGGCTGCTGGGGGCTCTGTTTGGGTGGGCCCCAGGCCAACCTGCCTCCCCCCCCTCTGATTTACCCCTGTCTATTTAGCCATGAGCAGGTCTGAGCTTAACTGCGGCTCTTGATCTCTTTCGGACACTCACATTTTTGTATAAACTCACTACATATGTCGAGTACCATGTAGATGAGGTTAAGATACAGTAAAGATAACTAAAATCCAGCCAGAACTGGGTATGTTACAGTTTTAAGATTAACTTCAGTGGGGCTTTCTAAATGACGTTTCCCTGTGGTGATACCGTCCATTTACAAGAACAGGAAAGACCCTGGAATGCAGTGACCCTGGGAAATGTAGCAAACACTCAAACACAAGTTACTACACACTACTCAAACAAAACGGGGTTGTCAGGGATGGTGCTCAGTGGCAGAACATTTGCCTTTCATGTGTAAGGCTCTGGGTCTGATCCTTGGCATCACACACACACACACACACATACACACACACACACACACACACACACACACACACACACCACAAGTGCCCTAACAATTGGCACAGTTGAAGGAACCAGAACCTTCAAGTGTACAGCAGGTAGGGCACTTGCCTTGCACGTAGCTGGCTTAGGGTTAGTGCCTGGCATCCCATATGGTCCCCGAATAAGCTAGGAGTGGATCCTTTGTACAGAGCCAGGAGTAAGTCCTAAGCACTGACAGGTGGGCCCAAAATCCAAAACCAAAACTAAATAAAACAAAAACAAACTAACAAACCAACTGGGGCCATTGTTTCTTTAGGCAAAGAAAAAACAAACAACCAACAGGCCTCTGCCCAGAATGGAAACAAGTTGATTCTCAGCAGAGGTATTTGGAAATTTCATTTAGCATCACAAGTATAATATTAAGGTAAATTATTAAATACTTAGTACTTTTAACAATAAAAAAAAAAGCATGGGGCTGAAGAGATAGTAGAGTGGATAGGGCTGGCCTTGCATGTCGCCTACCTGGGTTCGATCCCTAGCACGACATATCGTTCCCCGAGCCTCACCAGGATGCATCTCTGAGTCAGTAAGCCCTGAGCATATTAAAAACATATTCCACAATAAAAAGTTCTGGTGGGTCAGAAGATAGCACAGAGTTTAAGGCACTTGCCCTGCACATGGCAATCCTGAGCGCTGCATGATTTCCCCCTACCCTACATTCCATGAGTGACCCCAGAGCACAGAACCAGTAGTCTGCAGGTACAACCAATCCCCCAAGCTCCCGTCATAAGCACTAGTGGGTCAAAGATGTAGCTCATAGACTGAGTGCATGCTTTTTTTTTTTTTAACTTTTTAAGTTGAGTCACTGTGTGATAGACCCGCAAGGTCTGTTTACGATTAGGTTTCAGTCCTTGTATTTTCCAACACCCATCCCTCCACCATTGTACATTTCCCAGCACCAGTGTCCCCAATTTCCCTCCCATCACCGTCACCCTCCCTCCCAGCCTTCCTCTATGGCAGGCACTTTTCTCCTCTCTCTCTCTCTCTCTCTCCCCACCCCTTTTGGACATTGTGGTTTGCAATACAATGAGTGCATGCTTCTGCATGCTGTAGGCACAAGTCTGATCCCCAGCACCACGTGGTTCCCTGAACATCAACAGGAGTGACCTCCCAAGAACAGAGATGAGAATGACTTCTGAACAATTCGCTGGCTGTGGCCCCCCAAAAAAACTAAAACAGGGGCTGGAAAAATAGTACAGCAGATAGGATGCTTGCCTTGCAAGCAGTAGAACTGGGTTTGAACCTGGGCACCCCACATGGTCCCTTGAGCCCCATCAGTAATGAACCCTGAGCTCAGACCCAGGAGTAAGTCCCGAACACAGTTGGGTGTAGCCCAAAAGCTTGTAAAATTGAATGGCTCATTTTAAGCTTACCCACTAATTCTCTTAATAAACTGCTTTCATATTTTGTCTTCGGGCCATCTTTACAGCACACAGCCACAGAGAAGAAAGGCCGCGGTGGGGGGGTGGTGAGGGGGCTCCACAGCTCCCGGAGAATGCACCAGGTCCCAAAGAGAGCCGAGATCACCGGGAAGTCCCAGATGAGGTAGGTGCCGCATCCCGCCTGCTCCATGTGCCCTGGTGACCATGAGCCTCTACAAACATAGCTAGAGTAAGCGGGAACCAGGACTTTTACTGCAAACCGCGTGGCTGCGTAAGCCTCCCTATATGCAAGGTGATCAATGGAAAGCAAACCATCCAACGTTTCTCCCTGAAAACCAGGCTTAACTCTTATACAGGCCACAAACAGCCAATGGGAGAGAGAGAACAAAAGGGAATGCCCTGCCACAGAGGCAGGGTGGGATGGGGTGGGGGTGGGAGGGATACTGGGACCCGAGGTGGTTGGAAATGGTCACTGGTGGAGGGATGGGTATTCAAAATAAATTAATTAAAAAAAATATTGTGTCTTCGTATAGCACGGACTGGGGCTGAAGTGATAGCACAGCGGGTAGGGCGTTTGCCTTGCACGCTGCTGACCCGGGTTCAATTCCTCTGCCCCTCTCGGAGAGCCCGGCAAGCTACCAAGAGTATTTCGCCCGCATGGCAAAGCTCGACAAGCTACCCGTGACGTATTAGATATGCCAAACACAGTGAAAAGTCTCACAATGGAGACGTTACTGGAGCAAACCGATGAGCAATAGGACAGTGCTACAGTAATAACAGTAATACAGCGCTGGAGGAAGGACTTGAAGCCCAGTATCAGCCCAACATCTCCACCTAGTGGCAAAATGTATTCATAGCACTGCTAAACACACAGGCTCCCAATTTGCATTTTTCTTCCTAACCTGCTCAAAGGAGCTCCTGAGAGATTATGGCAACATAAAATGTGGAAAAGGAACACTGAAAAGTATGAATGCAAGTTAAATGCTTTATTGAATATAAATGTTTTCAGAATAAGGAAAAGTGTAAGAAAGCCAAATATTTTACATCTCTACAAATACAATTTTGAATCTCAGTTATGTACAAATTATCAAATGTACTCAAATTTATAATGTTCCCAAAACCTAAAATATTAGAAAACCATATCCAACTTCTGACCCCCCCCCCCACGCCTATAATTGGTTTAGCTGCACTCTGGGAATACTGTTTGCCATTAAAAAAAAAAAAGAATAAATTTCAGAGCTTACAAGTGTCTGAGAAAGGGAAAATGAAACCTGGAATACAGGTTTGGGGCTCTGAGTCTGTAATATTTTGTACCTGTTATTCCTACTTTGCTCTCACGACAGTGTAGCAACAGCAGTAAAAAGATCTGTTTTAAAACAATTGCAGCTAGGGGCTGGAGTGATAGCACAGCGGGTAGGGCGTTTGCCTTGCACACGGCCGACCTGGGTTCAATCCCCGGCATCCCATATGGTCCCTCAAGAACCGCCAGGAGTAATTCCTGAGTGCAGAGCCAGGAATAACCCCTGAGCATCGCTGGGTGTGACCCAAAAAGCAAAAAAAAAGGAGACAGTGGGTTTTGCCCAGCACCAAAGGTGCTGCAAAAAGGATGTCATATTTCAGTAATCCAGTTAAGGATGTGGTTTAAAGAATAGGATGTATAGCAATAGGTTCCCCATATGTATTAAGAGTAAGAAAATTAACCAAAAAAATTTAAAAAGACTTAAATATTTAATTTTTTAATAAATGGATACTAAATAATCATATAGGTATTCATTTAAGAATAAACAAACTATGCCCTTTATACTAGTGTATCCGGTTACAATGTTTAGAACTCCAAGTCCCTACCTTCCGTTTCCTAATTCCACAAGTGAACTTTTAGAGTAATCATGTCCTCTTAATCTAGCTAGTTCCATACTGCCTTTTGAAACGCAGTAGAATCCGGAGATGGAATAGCTCCCCCCTTACAAGACCTAATGCACTTAACGTATGTTGTCACTGAAACAGAGAATTTAAGTAATATGTTTTGTTCCTAGCATTTAGAATTGGTTGGCCTGAATTGTAGTACAGGATTTGTTTGCAAGCAGGAAGTCTTTCCTGCAGTTACTTCCACATAAATTATAGTTCATGCTAAAATGCCTGTTTACATGAATCATTCTGATAAAGGGCAATGGCTCACTAACACTAACACAAATTTAAGGCCCAGCACCGAGATAATCTGTCATTCCTCCTCCTCCTCCTCATCGTAGTACCGATTTCTCTTTATCTGCTCTTCTACAGAGAGCTCTTGGTCTTCTCCCTCCCAGAACCCGTCCTCCTGGGATGGTGGATTCAGACTCGTGAATTCTTTGCTGGAAGGGTCACTCGCGAAGCCGGACCAATTTGCATCCTTGGTTTCTGCGGGCGGTTGCGCTTTGAGATGGTGGCTATCATCTTCCTCCAGGTTTGCTCTGTTTTCTAGAAGCTTTTCGCTCTCCATCTCCAAGCTGTGCCCTTCTCTGTTTTCCCTCTCGCCTTCCGCTCCCTTTGATGATTCCTGATTTGGTGATTCAAATTTGGACTTGATTTTCCCTACCGCTTCTTGCTGCTCCGAGTCACAGGCGTCTTGGCCTTGCTTCTGCTCCGCCGCGGCTCCCACGGCCAGCTCCTCATTCTGCCCTGCAGTGGCCCAGCCTTTCCTGGTGGGTGAGGACAGGGTTTTAGGGCTCTTGACAGAAGCAGTTCGAAACGAAGCTGCGACTGTGAACGGCCGGCATCTCTCCTTCAGTGAAGAAGAGCGCCTGAGTTTCTTCAGATCCTGATTCACATCCTCAGGAGCTTCGGGCTTGCTGATTTCATCCTCTGGCGGCCACTTGGGCTTGGACACTTTGATCCCTTCCTCCAAGACACTTCCTGGGCTGCCCGGTTCTGCGGGGGGTGGCCAGGCAATTCTCAGCTTCTTGGTTTCAGCTGGCTTGTCTTCTTTCTCCCGCGGGCTGGCAGAGGTCTTGGCTTCCATACTGGCGGTCAGCACACCCACCTTAGCAATGGGGGCATCTTCCACCCCTGGGCTCTGAGGCGGTTCGCCTGCATTTGGAACTCGGGCAGGTTTCTCCAAAGCTTCTTCATTCTCACTTTTGTTTGACCACAGATCCTTGTGTGGTCTGTGCCCGAAGCCCTCGTCGTAGTTGCCTTTAGACTTAAAGAGCTGATTGAAGTGAGGTTTGCAATAGATTTGTCCACGCAAAGATGCGTATGTTCCTAGACTGTCATGGAAAAAAAAAAGAGATAAAAGTTGGCAAATTCATATATGCTTCCCCCTCATCCCAGTTTTTTGTTTTGGGGCCACACCCAGCTGGACTAAGGGCTTATTCCTAGTTCTGTGTTTAGGGATCACATATACCTGGTGGTGTTCAGGAAATTATATGTGGTGCCAGGGATTGAACCCAGGCAGCTGCATTCAAGGCAAGCACCTTACCCACTGTGCTATCTTTTGGGGCCACACCTAGAAGTGCTCAGGGCCTACTCTTGGCTTGGGGCTCATTCCTGGGAGGCCTCTCTGTACTGCTGCTCTCTGTGTTAATTAAATCACAACCAAGTGTGGGCCACTGGCATTGGTATTGGGTTACTCCAGCCACAAGGGTCCCACATGTGCAAAGCACAATCCTGAGAGCTCTGCTGTCTGCAGTTCCCAGCACTGCAAGGAACCTCCAGTCATGCTGCAGTCAAGTGCTATTTCTCTGGTCCAATTTGTCACATTTTTACCCAATCTTGTTTATTTGGGAGAAATGATCTATTCTTTTTTTTTTCAGAAATGAAATGAAACGATATGTACAAATTATATACTTGTCAGGGTTTGTTATTACTGCTCTTATTACCACTTACAGCGAGCTTGACTCTGCAAAAGCAAGGGCCTAGGAGGTATCTGCTTGAGATTTCTTTGTTGTGGTTTTTGGGCCACACCCAGCAATACTTAGGCCTTACTCCTGGCAGTGCTCAGGAGACCATGTGAGATGCCGTGAATTGAACCTGGGTGCGAGAGGGCAAGGCAAAAGCCCTACATGCTATACTATAGCTCTTTTTTTTTTTGCTTTTTGGGTCACACCTGGCGATGCACAGGGGTTACTCCTCGCTCTGCACTCAGGAGTTACTCGTGGCGGTGCTCAGGGGACCACATGGGATGCTGGGAATCGAACCTGGGTCGGCTGCGTGCAAGGCAAACACCCTACCCTCTGTGCTATCTCTCCAGCCCTATACTATAGCTCCTGCCCACTTCACTTGAGATTTCTTAACTTAATGATTCTGTGATACCAAGGGAAAACATTCCACCGACTTGGTCCAGGGAGTTTACCTGCAACCCACATTTCAGTGTCTGTCCTAGAATCCACACTGAGAAATTGGAATATATCACCATACCAAAAAGTTCCTAAGACCAGGCCACTTCCTAGAAAACACTTGCCACTTGGTGGTACTTTCAACCTTTCCAAGGGCACCTTTTAGTACCACAGCCAAGCCTCCTCCGGGGGCTGCGGCTACGCTAGGAGAGGAGACAGCTCGTTTGGGGCTGGCTTACTTGAGCTTGTTATTGCAGTAGGAGCAACGGAAGCAGCTGATGTGGAACACCTGCTGGTTGGCCAGGAGCCGCTCCATCGGGTAGACGGTCTTCTGACACTCCACACAGATTTCTCTGGCAGGGGCCTGGAACTTCTAGAAAAGGGGGAAGAGAACCTTTGAAACTAGGATAGGTAGGGATGGCTCAGACTGTGGAGAGGGGCCCTGGGGGTTAATTTTGTTATCTAAGGACTCCCTACCTGGACAGTCCTTTTACCCATTTCAGTTCTACCAGCCAAGAGGCTCTTGAATTCTCTTGCCAAACTGGCTGCATTAAGCTACTCAGGATGGGAGGGTGAGGGCTGAACTGCAGAGAAAGTCTTAGACAAGACATCACACACACACACACACACACACACACACACACACACACACTGCACATAAAATGTTTCTGTGGGCAGAAAATGTCATCACACATAGAAGAAAGAAGTTTGATTCAAGTACCAAGCTAAAGTAGGGCAAACATTTTGTAAGAACAGAGTCTGAAGGGGCTGGAGGGGTAGAACAGAGGGTAGGGTGTTTGCCTGAGCACCACCTGAATGCAGAGCCAGGAGTAATTCCTGAGCATCAAGGGTGTGACCCAAAAAACCAAAGACATTAAAATAAGTAATTAGTGGCAAACTCCCAAGCAGCACCAGAGACTTAAAAAATGAAAGAGCAGAACTGAGTGCTTCAGTAACAGAATCTCTCTTCCTGGGATTAGAATCCTATAAAGAAAACTTTAAAGAATTCAAGTCTACCAGTTGCGACCTAGTTTCTAAGCATAAGGAAGGCATTTAAATAGCTTAAATGTTTCTCATGAAGACATTATTTGAAATCCAGAGTTAGCATTATGTTGTGGCTTCTGGCCCATACCCAGCGGTGCTCAGGGATAGATAACTCCTTGCTCTGCACTCAGGGATCATGCCTGGAAGGGCTCAGGGCACCATGTAGGGTGCCGAGGATCAAATCTGGGTTGGCTGTGTGCAAGGCAAGTGTCCTTTCTGCTGTATTCTTTCTCCAGCCCCTGTGATTTTAACACCAGACTTAAGAGTCTACGTAATCATTCTGGTCAGTGAAGACAGAGCAAGAGATAGAAATGATGACGTTGCGAAAGAGAACACTGATGTCATTTGGTTAAAGGGAATGGAGGTGACAAGCCTCCTTTACCAACACACAGATGACACACTGAGAAGATGGAAGCCCAGGGACTAGAAAGGAGAACCTGAGAGAAAGCTGAAACTCGAGCTCACATTAGGAGGAAAGTGGAAGGCAGGAGCAGAAATTAGGTACCAGGAGCAGGAAGCGGAAGCTGGAAGAGACAAGCAGGAACCTTCAGTGAATACACAGCATTTGTTGTTTTTGATATTTGTTTCTTTGGGGGCCTTACCTGGCAATACCCAGGAGTTACTCCCGGCTCTGTGAGTGTCTTACCCGCTGTACTATTTCTCTAGTCCTACATTTTTTTTTCCCAAGTAACTGCCAGTTGTTGCAAAATCAGCCTCGCTCAGTTACCTGAGGTTGAAGCCTCTCCCGGCCGAGGGGAGGAAGCTTGAATGAGCCTTCTCCCACACACAGAGTCTCTCCCTAACAATTCTCAGTGTATCGCTTGCTCCCATGCCTGACCCACCATGGCTTTCCTGAGTGGAGCCTTCACCCACACAGTGAAAAGTCATTCCTCCTTCTTGACAGCAAATCAATAGCGTTCACACACCTCACCAACTTGTCAGGCCTGTCAGATTCTCATAATTCTAATTCACTTTGTTTGTTTAGTTTTGGGGCCATTTGCAGTAGTGTTTATTTTTTTAATTTTTATTTATTTATTTATTTTTGCTTTTTGGATCACACCCGGCGATGCACAGGGGTTCCTCCTGGCTCTGCACTCAGGAATCACTCCTGGTGGTGCTCAGGGGACCCTATGGGATGCTGGGAATCGAACCAGGGTCGGCCGCGTGCAAGGCAGACGCCCTACCTGCTGTGCTATGGCTCCAGTCCCTGCAGTAGTGTTTAGAGCTACTTCTGGTTCTGTGCTCAGGAGTAGCTCCTGGAGGTGCTGGGAGAACACGAGTTGCTGGGGATCAAACCAAGACCTCCTTGCATACAAATGTGCTCAGCTCTTTGAGCTATCTTTCCAGCCCTTCCAATTCATGGTTGTTGGTCTGGGAGGGCCACACTTGGTGGTGCTCAGGGTTTAATCCTAGCTCTGTATTCCTGATCACTCCTAGTGGTGCTTGGGGGATCATACACAGTGATGGGGATCAAACCTGGGCAAGCTGGAAGCAAGGCAAATTTTCTTTTTTTTTTTTTGCTTTTTGGGTCACACCCGGCAATGCACAGGGGTCACTCCTGGCTCTGCACTCAGGAATTATCCTTGGCGGTGCTCAGGAGACCATATGGGATGCCGGGATTCGAACCTGGGTTGGCCGCGTGCAAGGCAAATGCCCTACCCGCTGTGCTATCACTCCAGCCCCAAGGCAAATTTTCTTAACCACAATATTATTTCTCTAGTCTTTCCACCTCCTTTTATACATAAACCATTTTTTTAAATTTAAATTTTTTTTAATTGAATCACCGTGACATACAGTTACAAGCTTTCATATTTTAGTTATAGTTCTCCCATTGTTCATCAATTTGCTCAAGCGGGCACCAGTAACGTCTCCATTGTGAGACTTGTTGCTATTGTTTTTGGCATATCGAATACGCCACGGGGAACTTGACATGCTCTGCCATGTGGGCAGGATACTCTCAGTAGCTTGCCGGGCTCTCCGAGAGGGCCGGAGGAATCAAACCCAGGTCAGCTGCGTGCAAGGCAAATGCCCTACCTGCTGTGCTATCGCTAAAGCCCTGAGTTACAGTAATACAATATAAACCATTTTCAATATTAGTATTCTTTTCCCAGAAAAGATTTTAAGAAAAGGGAAAGGAAGGCAGGGAAGGTCCAAGGTTATGGAAAGGGTCTCCTAAAGGAAGAGTCCCCATTTTCATTATTATTTAAGATTCATGCAGTGGCTGCCCTAAAGGCACTTAGAGTTTCATAAAGATAAGAAGATCCCAACGTGATAAAATGCTGGGTCAGAGGGGCTATGACCAGGCCTTCCCCTGATTTCCTCTATTCTGGGCTCTCAGCCACTTTTCTGTAATTGCCCCCATGTCTATGCAGACAACAGGAAGCATAGTCAGTACCCAAAAATCTCTGCCATTATGGTGGGTCTGGCATTCATTCTGCCCTGACTTCATGGCATGCTTAGACTTGGCAGAGCCACACGGAAATGTTGCCAAGATTAGGATAATAAACATAATTAATCCTTAGTATGTATTTCTTTAATTAGTAAGCTTTAAAAAAATCTCCCCTCACCATTTTTCACATGTAGAATTAATGTACCAAGGAACCAACTGTATTGTCAGTTCCCAAAGTCAGTAGCAGAATTAACATTAAAACTCAGAAGTCCCGGGGCTGGAGTGATAGTACAGAGGGTAGGGCGTTTGCCTTGCATGCAGCCAACATGACCGACACAGGTTCGATTCCCAGCACCCCATATGGTACCCTGAGCACCGCCAGGAGTAATTCCTGAGTGCATGAACCAGGAGTAACCCCTGAGCATCGCCGGGTGTCACCAAAAAAAGCAAAAAAAAAAAAAAACCTCAGAAGTCCCAACTCCCAAATCAATAGTGTGGTTTTATGTTCTGGAATGCTAGATTTCCATAACAAAAGGCACATCTTTGGGGAAGAGAGCAGATGAAAACCTAAATGAAAATGAAAATAATCCGGGGTATGGTGCCGCCAGCAGGTCAATCTGTACCTGTGAGGCGACTGCATCAGCAGCCTGATGGTGCCTTCAGACTTCCAGATACCCCCAAATTGCTGCTGTGCCTTTGGCCAGACCCCAAAACCTTGGGGCAAAGTTTACCAAGAAAGTAAACGGACAAAAGTGTGGGAGACACACCCACAAACCACCTCAGGCTCAGCTATATAATTGGAGGCAAGGCCTCTCTGGTTCCTGATCGAACTGCTTAATGGCCATGATCCCAAAGACTCAGAGACAAATCTCAGAACCCAGTGGCTTTCGGCAGAGATGCGTCCGGTCCCCGCAATGGGTTATCACCACCCCGGGGGGGGGGAAAGGGTGTTTTCCCTCCACCTGCTCCACCTTGGCGGCTCGGTGGCCACCATCCTTTAGAGGTCATTGGACACTCTGGATTGGGCCCGCAGTGATGAGACATGAGGGGCCTCATAGGATGGCAGAGGAGCTGGCCCTTTCCTCCCCACGCCATCAAGACCCCGAGTTACTGCCAACTAATGGCCTTTCTGGCTCCTGATCAAGCTGCTTAATGGCCAAAATCCAAGAGATTCAGGAACAAATCTCAGAACCCAGCAGGTTTTGGCAGAAATCCCTCCAGATTTAATTGTTAAGATTTCAGAATTCCAAAATTTCGAGGTCACTACTGTGGCCTTGCAACATCATATATTATTCATAAGCAGCAATAGAAAACAAATTGTCTACTGTTGCCTTTTCAGCATATGTGAGAGTTGGGGTAAAATCCCAAATAATAATGGTGGGTCTGGTGTCGAAATACTGAATGTAATCAAAATAGAGAGAGAGTAATGTGGAAATCATTTGCCCCATAGGGTGTGTGTGTGTGTGTGTGTGTGTGTGTGTGTGTGTGTGTGTGTGTGTGAGAGATAGGGGTATACTGGGGTTTTTGGTGGTGGAGAATGGGCACTGTTGAAGGTATGGGTGTTTCAATGTATGACCGAGACTTAAACCTGAAAGGCTTTGCAACTGCTCTCACGGTGATTCAATAAATAAAATTATAAAAAAGGAAAAAAAAAAAAGAAAATGAAAATAATCTCACTCCAGCACTGCAAACAAACTGGTCTTCACTTTGTTGCAATTTAAAATATGTAGATAACATCTTTGGGATATTCGAGAATGAATGAAGTAACATAAATAAACCCTACTGGTCTTTCCTGTATGAGGGATCGCTCAGGTTCTATATTGATCAGCTTTGTTTCCATTGTATTTCCATAGCTTCATCTATATTGTCTCACCCTACTGACTTACATAAAGTTTTTAGTCGAATAAAGGCTTAAATTGGGCCATATATGTATATGTATGTGTGTGGGGATGTGGGATGGGTTGAGGCAGCAGCTGGCAAGCACAGTGATGCTTTCCTGCCTTGCAGGAAATCAGAGGAGAATTCTGCACTGACGTCAGGCCTCCATTCCTCTGACGGACCACCACAAAATGTCTTTCGTTCCCTTCTTTCAATTTTTTGCAATATATCTAGTTATGCCTTGCACGCAGCCAACATGGCCCACCCGAGTTCGATTCCTCCGCCCCTCTCGGAGAGCCCGTCAAGCTACCGAGAGTATCTTGCCCTCTCGGCAAAGCCTGGCAAGCTACCCGTGATGTATTCAATATGCCAAACACAGTGACAACAAGTCTCATGATACAGACGTTACTGGGCCCGCTCAAGCAAATCGATGAACAACGGGAGGACAGTGACAGTGATATCTAGTTAATTATACTGAAAAATTTCATCACACAATAAATAGTTGGGAAGGCTTTGCACAGCCTTAACCCTTTCCCAAACTTTCCGTAAAACTCTTTTTTGAAAATTTTGGGGGTATTCATATTTTTTTGGGTGTTAGTGCTGGTGGTAAAACTCAGGGCCTTAAACATGAGAATTACATCTTACCCCCATTACATGTTAAATAAACTGTTACATGTAGAGAAAAGGTTAGCCTTCTGGGAAAGCAGTAATAATGCTGATAGTGAGAAAATATTCTAGATTCTTGGGGCTGAAGAGATAATACAAAGGGTGGACTTTGCAAGTGGGAGCCTTCGATTTGATCCCTGGCAACATTAAGGTACCCAGCACTGCTGAATGGCCAATCCCCCCCCAAACAAAGAAAATCCAAGCAACAATAAACCCCCCATAAATTTTAGGGCCAGAGAACAGCTCACTGGACTGAAAGGCATAAGCTTTACCTGTGGGAAGCCCAGGTTTGATCCTGGAACCTTTTTTGTTTGTTTGTTTGTTTGCAGGGGGTCACACCCTTTGATGCTCAGGGGTTATTCCTGGCTCTGTGCTGAGAAATTACTCCTAGTGGTGCTTGGGGGACCATACGGGATGCTGGGAATCGAGCAGCACATTGGCAGCTTGTAACGCAAGTGCATTACCTGCTGTGCTATTGCTCTGACCCTGATCCTGAAAGTCTTGAATAGAAAAGTCTTCTCTTTCTCACAAGGTCCACACTGAGCTCTGAAAAGAATACCCTTCTTTCAGAATGAACCTGTAACTTCATTCTGCAATCTTTTGTGCCATCAAGTCTCACTAATCAAGCCACATGGCTTGATCGAACTATATAGATTCTTATTCCTATTCAAGAGGAGGCTATTTTTTTTTTTCTTACTTCATGAAGCTAAAATTTGAAATGAATTGAGTCTGAGTTCTCAATGAAAATAGAGCTTGGGGGCTGGAGTGATAGTATAGCAGGTAGGGCATTTGCCTTGCACGCGGCCGACCCGGGTTCGATTCCCAGCATCCCATATGGTCCCCCGAGCACCACCAGGACTAATTCCTGAGTGCAGAGCCAGGAGTAACCACTGAGTATCGCTGGGTGTGACCCAAAAAGCAAAAAAAAAAAAATAAAATAAAATAAATAAAATTGAGCTTGAATTAATCTTTTTTTAAAAATTGAATGAAGCTTAGGGGTCATCCCCAGTGGAGCTCAGGGGACCATGCAGTGCCAGGTCAAACCTGGGCTCTCATGTATGCACACTAACCCTTTCAGTCAGCCTGCCCAGACTCAGATGTCCTATATTCAATAACAAAGAGACAGCATTTCCAGAATGTGTGGGAACCAAAAATCTATTCTAAGTGAACAAGCTTATTTTTAGCTGTATGTAATTTCCCCAAACGGAGAACCAGCTTTTGTTGCATGATCTCTGATGACACCAGTTATGCCAGCAGATCTTCCTCTACGCATTTACCGAGGGATCTATATGCTGCCTACAGAATATAAAATGTAACTCTGAGAAAGAGAAAAGAAACTTCTTTTAAATAAAATGCAGATATGACTGGGTTCCAGACCAAGCTCTGAACAGTGAGATCACTGTGAACGTTGGACTTTAGACAGACCCTGAGAAGGCAAATTTACTCCAGTTTTAATACCGTGTAAAGCCTCAAGTGTCTGATGAAGGTTGCCTAGTTCTGCAGCTGAGAGATCAGGGCCAAAGGCCAAAGCAGATCCTGAGCAGGTGCAGAGGGAAACTTAGCTGCACTTCCTCTCTTGCTGTTTCGGAAGACTTACAGGAAGTACATTCCTGTGACTTCCTTAGTCTGCCTAGATCTGGAGATATCTCAAAGGTCAAGCTAGTACCAGGAATTCTGGTCGAGAAATCGATGCAAGAAAAACAAGCCTGGGTTAAGAGTTCAAATATCCGCTGACCTGGTCTTGATCCCTCTGACCACACAAGTTCCCCCTGAGCACCCCTGGTTGTGACCCAGAAATCAAACAACAAAAAGGTTCAGCTATGCCTTAAAGTCAGAACAGGTTTTCGTTCTTAGTCACAGAATTCCTAGAATTCTAAATCACACAGAATCCATAGCTAAGTCAGACCACTGCTAGCTAGAATATCCAGAGCCACAACCCAGGGACCCACATCTTGGCAGTTTTGCTGTTGGAGAGAAAACTAACCACCCCCCTCCCCCAATCTTGTCCAGTACCCAGCACTTGCTACTTTGTTGGATTCCAGATACTGAATAAAGAAAGGGAAGAAAGGGCTGATGGCAGCAATGCCTGAGATTTAAGGTATTCAAGGTCATGTTGAAGAAATGAGCAGATTCAATTACTGCAACGTAGTTTTCTCCCTTCGCGGCTTTCCTCTGCTATTTTCTTCACCCTTCGCTCCTTTTCAAGCTACTTCACTCTCCTCAGAAATCTGAAATTCTTTTACATGTTCATGTCGGGGCCAGGAACGAAACTCAGTGGTACAACTTGCCTGGCTCATAAAAATTTCATGTTTATTACACGCAAAATTTATCTTCCTTAAACTCTTTTGAATCCACTCTTTAATTCTCCTTTCCCTCCGATAGCACAGCGGGTAGGATGTTTGCCTTGCACGCAGCCGACCCAAGTTCGATTCCTCTGCCCCCTCGGAGGCAGAGCTACCGAGAGTATCTCGCCCGCACGGCAAAGCCTGGCAAGCTCCCCGTGACGTATTCGATATGCCAGACACAGTAACAATTGTCACAATGGAGATGTTACTGGGAACGCTCGAGCAAATCGATGAACAACGGGAGGACAGTGACAGTGACAGTCCTCTTTTCATTCTTTCATACACTAGAGTTTCCAGAAAGTGACCAAATGTACACACAGTTGAGTTAGAAGCAAAACAAATGTGTGCATAAGGTTGAAGTGTTTCAAAATGCCTTCTACCTAATTATACCTTTCGCATTTCTCTTAAATGTTAATACTTTTGAAAGTAAAAAAATCCAAGTATTGAAGAGCATCAGAGGAAAGACAGTAAAATTTGAGTGTGTTTGGTTATTAACCCAAATGGGTTTGCACTGCATTTGCAAAGCATTTGATTAAAACCAAATCAATCTTACTAAATAACTAAAATGAGATTTGACTTTTTTTTTGGATTTTTGGGCCACTCGTTGTTCAGCACTGAGCCTAGCAGTGCTCAGGGCCTACTGGCTCTGTGCTCAGGATTCATTCCTGGCAGGCTTGGGGACCACATGTGGTGCTGGGATTAAAATGGGTCAGCTGAGGCAAAGCAGGACACTACCCACTGTACAATTAGCCCCCTGTATTTGACTTTTAAAAAAATCCTTTGATTTTTTTCCCCTAGGGAAAATATCATATATTTTTCATATACTCCTTAATATTAATTATCTATGAGTAACAGTGAGTAACGGGATATCAAGGGATCAAGTGATTAATTACCTAATATTCTACCCTAGCATAAGTGTTACTTAAATGCCCATTTTTCACTGTTGGTTTTTGTTGGTGATGCTCAGGGGTGACTCCTGGCTCTGCACTCAGGAACCACTCGAGGCAGTGCTCAGATCATATGGGATGCTGGGGATAATACCTGGGTTGGCCATGTGCAAGCCGGGTGCCTTACCCTCTGCACTATTGCTCTGGCCTTTAAATGCTGATTTTTATAACAAATGATCTGGCCACCCCTCATTACAATGGCATACACATTCTTTAAACATGTTTACCACTAAGTGTGTTGTGATCAAAATTCTCAGACCCGGGAGACAAAACTAACACCGCTTGCTCCCTCTCCCCCTCTCCCTATGAGCTGATAATAGTCTAACAGCTTTTTCATAATTCCTTTATTCCATTTTTTCTTTGACCCACTCACAGATTTATGAACTTAGATTCTCCCTCCTCCCACACAAAAAAATGCCCCAAACCACATAAGATCAGATTTTTTTCCTTCCCTTTTTGGGGGGGGGGGTAGGTTGGGGAAATTGTTGGTCACAACCCAGTGATGCTCAGTGCTTACTCCTGGCTCTGCACTCAGGAATCACTCCTGGTGGAACTCGGGGATCACATGGAGTGCAGTGATCGAACCCGGGTCAGGTCTGTGCAAGGCAAGTGCCCAATCTGCTATATTATCACTCCAGCCTTTTCAGATTTCAAATCAGGATATTAGTCAGCAATTCCTGCCCCCTCCCCTCCCCTCTGAAAGTTCTAACCAAGGCAAAGAAGATTTCCAGGGAAAGTGATGGAACTCAAGTGTGCTCTTACTTGGCACTGGCATTATTTTATCCCAGGAAAGCAAAACGTGCTTCTAATAAACATAATGATAGCAGGCACCATAACCTACCAACCAGTATCTAGGCTCAGGGAGGAGCTGTCACCATACCTTCACTGCTTTGAGAGGAATTTCAGAAAGATTCGAAGCTCTGGCATCTGGACTTGGTGGCTTCTGAAGAACAGACTGCTGGGCCTCTTTCTTAACCTGAGCGTTACCTGCTTCGTAAGAAAAGGACATTTTATAGGATAAAGTGAAAGACAGTGAACTAAATTACAGGATCGAGTATGAACTTGCTCAGCACTGTCAGTAAAGGGAACAACGTCTCCAACCAAATGCAAGATGACAATAAAAACCTCATCCTTTAGATGGAAGAACAAATGCTTACGGGAATCACTGTCAGCAGGAGGGGAGCGGACAGGCGGGCTAGTTTCAGTTGCAGAAACCTACAAAAAAAGAGACAGGGGGATTCAGAATCACATTAAAAATAAAAGAGCAAACTGCAGCTAATGCCATAAAAACCTGCTGACTGCAGTAAGTCAGTGGATGCCTAGGGGGAACAATGGCCTCAGAACAGCTGAGCATTTCAACAAGAGGCAGCAAAATGTCTTTTATGAGGATATTAACATGCCTCTCAATTACAGAGTAACAGAGAAACAGACCGCACTCAGCTGCCAAAAGCTGCATCATCTCCCTTTACATAAGAACTTCTAAACTCTCTAAACTCTCTCTCTCTCTCTCTCTCTCTCTCTCTCTCTCACACACACACACACACACACACACACACACACATCACACCATACCAGAAAGGGCAAAGTACTTCTCTATAAAACCGTAATTCTCCTGGGCAAGACAACATCTTTATATACACTCTTTTTTTTTTTAAAACATAACACATACACGAATTATATTCCTAATTCCTTATTTCACAACCAAATACATTCTGCTGAAACACATTTGCCAATACAAAGGCTCTACTGATAGCCATAAAACAAATTTACCTAAAACCAAACTCTGGCGTCATCTTCAAGGGTTGTCTTGCTTTTTAATCTCAGTCATAAAAGGGTAGTATTTAACCAGATGGCAGATCTAATGTATGAGGTGTGTATTTCCCGTTAGAAGCCACAAAACTTAAATAGAAGAATGTTCCACTAGCCTTCTCTCCTTCCTGGTTTCTCCAGGACTTCCTGGTGTCCTCTCTCCTACTCAAAATCATGACAGATCAATAGGTAACCCAAAATGCACTCTGTGGAACCAGCTTTCATTCAGATGTCAGGGATTTTATGGAACAAGTTTCCTTTTACCCCGCTGTGTGTGGTTGCCCGATGCTCCCACAGGGAAGCCCCTGTAGAACTATGGCCACAGAGATAAGGAAGGGCTTAGGGGACGGGGGAGCTGCAGACAATCCCTTTACTCCTGCCGCATCTCCCAGCTGATATTCCGTCCAGGGCCCCCATCCAGGGCCCCCGAGGGTAGGCATTTATATCCAAATGCCTAATATTGAGTACATTTATCATGGATTGTTGGCTGAGTGCATCTGAATTAATATGGTTGTTTCCTCCACTATTCTCTTTTTATTATTTTATCATGGTATAAGAAACAAACCAGTATATAGGCTGGGAAGCTAGCCTTCTGGTTTGAAGTGCATGCCTCGGGGTTGATCCCTGATGCTGTTCAATCTCCCAAGCACCATTGGGAGCAATCCTCAGTACAGAACTCGGAACAGCCCCTGTGCACCACTGGTAATACCCCAGCTCCTCCCAAATCACCCCCCCGAAAACACCAGTATAATAATAGTCAACACTGAGTTTTGACTATGTGCTAGATATGGAATAGTCATCTCATATGCATTATTTCATTTAATGATATAAAATAAACTTCCTTAAAGCTGCAGATGGCCATGAATAGCTATGGAATGAGAAGGGACATCTATCCCAGTATGTTCTTCTCTCATCTCCAATTTGGTCACCTTGAAACTGTAGGGCACGCTCAGTGCCAATCATGACATCATCGCACTGCAGGAGCAGCTGGGACAGCACAGAATAATTTGCTCAAACATTAAAAGAAAACACTGATTCACTCCAAAGAGAAAGGAAAGAACAATTCCTCTACAAAATATTCCATTCCAGGCAGTTTCTCACTAGCACTAATGTCCTCTTGTAAAAAGTTCAATTAGCTCATAGATACTGGTTAATAGAAATGAGGTAAACAGTCAAAAGAATAGCTGAGATGGAATATTTCCACAAATTTTAAAGCAGCTGAGGATTTATGAACTTGCAATAATTGCCTTAAGACCGTGTACTATCTTTATCCCCCTTTTCCTCCGCCTACACCCAAATTTGTGATTCAGTTGCACTGATGCCCTTTTAGGCTATAATTAAAATGTTCTGATCCTCCAGTACAGTTCACAATTCTAGATTCAGTTCAGCATGAAGAGAACTAAGAAGGAAAATTGAAATTAGATACAGGAACAATCCAATAAGTATTTCCCAGATGATCAATTATCCTGGGGTACTTGGAGAAATTATATTGCTGGTCAGATAATTTTTCTCTTAAAGTTTCTTTTTTTCTTTCTTTCTTTCTTTTTTTTTTTTTGCTTTTGGGTCACACCTGGCAATGCACAGGGATTACTCCTGGCTCTGCACTCAGGAGTTACTCCTGGCGGTGCTCAGGGGACCATATGGGATGCTGGGAATCGAACCCCAGTCGGCTGCATGCAAGGCAAACACCCTACCTGATGTGCTATCTCTCCAGCCCCCTTAAAGTTTATTTTTTTAAGAGAACCAAAGAGAGGGCTCAACAGGTGAGTATACGCTTTGTTTGTGGAAGGCAAGTTTGATCCCTGGTGCACAACAGCACCAAAAGTGACCCCTGAATAGAAAGTATGAGTATTCCCTGATTAGACCACTGAAAAAAATCAAACAAAAACAAATTAATTTTAGCCTAAAAGAGGAGGTGGACTCTATATGATGTGGTAATTACTCCTTGCTCTGAACTCAGGGATCATTTCTGGTGGAGCTTGGAGGACCATATTGCGGTGGCTGGAAATGAACCCAGCTCAGGTCTTCACCTTTTTGAAAAGTCAGAATAAACAGCCTTAGACTGAGCTGCCGAAGCCTCTCCACAGTCCTGCATAGCTCTCTCAACATAGTCACTGTCTTATGAGAACCAGCTTGTTTCTCATCTCCCATCTACTCTTTTCGCTTTCTGGCAGATCAAATCCACATGGAATTCTGTTCTTAAGCTTCACACTTCCAGTGCTTCCGCATAGTGAAGACTTGAAAGAGTGAAATTTCAAAAATGTTTTAAGTTGAGATATACAAATACTTTGCAAGTATCTCTAATCAAAACAATTTTCTTCAAAATCAGTGTAGTTCTACATCCTCTTAGCTTTTTTGGGTGGGAGAGGGTGAGGGTTTCTGGGCCACGCCCAGCTGTATTCTGAGCTTACTTTTGACTTTGCACTCAGGGATTACTCCTGGGGGTGCTAACATGGGGTGCCAGGGATCAAACCTGGGTCAGTCACATGCAAGGCAACCACCTTACTCACTGCACTCTCACCATCCCCTTCTCTGAGCTTTTGCAGAGAAAAAGTAAATTCCATCAAAGGTCTGTTTATCTGGTCAGCTACAAATTACAGAGCTCCCCATCTGAAAATATGTGACCTCAAAAAGCAACGATCTGTCCTGGCAGCTGTTACCGAATTTCCAGACACTCTATAACTGAGAGTTAGGGTTGATTCTAATTTTAAGCCTCTAATTTAGAACACATGCTTCTTGGCAACTGGGCATGAGACTTTCCAACTCACCTTTTCTCCATCCTGATGGGAAATGCAGGCGTCTGGACCTGGGGGCACATTCTCTTTTTGCTCTAATTTATGAGTTTTGATTTCAGCACCATTGGCTCTCAACTCATTCTACAAAATAAAAATAATCTGTGGGTTAAAGAAAAGGCAATCTTGGGCCAGAGCGATAGTATGGCAAGTAGAGCGTTTGCCTTGAATGAGGCCAACCCAGGTTCGATCCCATATGGTCCCCTGAGCACTGCCAGGAGTAATTCCTGAGTGCAGAGCCAGGAGTTAACTCCTGAGCATAGCCAGCTGTGACCCAAAAAGCCAAAAAAAAAAAAAAAGGCAATCTCATTATTCAATTCTCTTCATAGCATATCATAGCATATCTGTTATGTAAACTGGAATGTTATAAAAAGATTTTTTTTTTTCCAAAGAGACCTCAGGTCAAATCAAACCCACTAACTTACAAGCAAAGCCTCTCAACTTGTGAAGTGACCAAAGCAGCTCTGTGGACACACACCTCCGAGTTAAATATTTTATACTAGCCTAAAACTGGATGCTTATTAGAATACAGACATGTGAACATAGACACAGATACACACACACGCACAGATCATTCCCAGCATACAAGATTTGTGTGATTCACTCTTGTAGCAGCAGAGCTTGTGGGAATGCAAAGCTTGTGGGTTTTCCCAGAAAAGACCATTCTGGTGCAGGAGAAAGGTGATGCAAGGTGCCAATAATTAAGAAAATATACTGACCATATAAATAAATGCCCGGCCTGGAAAGAGAGACAGGAATGATGCGTACATATAAAAACTGAAATTGAGCATATTTTACAACATATATTCAGAAGAAATTTTAGAGAATGTAAATTCACTATTATGAGAAAAAAATCAAGTTTCATTTATTTCCTATATAATTACAAAAAGAAACATGCTAACAAAACACACACAAAATTATATTTAATACTACCATAAAACAAACTTTTTTTGTGAGACTTTCTTTTTCTTTTTAATTTTTTTGAGTCACTGTGAGATACTCAGTTGTGAAGCTGTTTGTGATCAGGTTTCATTCATACAATGTTCCAACACCCACCCCTTTCTTGTGGGACTTTTAAAGCATATATTTTTTGTTTGTTTTGCCTAAAGTTTATATACTGTACTAAAGATATGACTTGTTCTATTTTTTATAGAAGAGCCTTCAAATAAGAAAGCAGGTATTATTACTTGCTGAGGAGTAAGCAAAATGATATATTTTTCTTCACAAAGAATACAAGTAAAGGGGCTGGAGCAATAGCACAGCGGGTGGGGCGTTTGCCTTACACGTGCCCGACCCGGGTTTGATTCCCAACATCCCATATGGTCCCCCGAGTACCATCAGGAGTGATTATTCCTGGGTGCAGAGCCAGGAGTAACCCCTGAGCATCGCTGGATGTGACCCAAAAAGCAAAAAAAAAAAAAAAAAAAAAGAATACATATAAAGAACAAAATAGTTAAATTAACTTTATGGGAGTACAAATTGGATAAAGGTCAAATGTGTGCTGGTGGATGGAAGTGAAACTTTTGGTGGGGGTCATACTATGAATGTATAGATGTTGAATGGTGCACACCTTAAGCCTATACAATTTTACATTACTGCAATAAAAGATTTTTTTTGGTTTGTTTATGGGTCACACCCAGCGGTACACAGGATTAGTACCTAGTACTAGTATACACTCAGGGGTCACTACTGGCAGGGCTTGGGAGACCATATGGGATACCATGGATCAAACCTGGGTTGGCCCTGAACAAAGCACTTACCCTACCCACTGTACTATTGCTCTGGTCCCCACAGTAATTTTTTTAAACAAGAAAAAGCCATAGTTATAGTTCAGTAGTAGAGAGTGGGCTTTGCATGTATGAGGTCCTGGGTCAATCCCTGCTTCTCAAAAATATAAAGGACTAGAGATATAGCTCACTGGTAGAATGCACATTTTTCATGTATAGGGCACTGGGTCAATTCCCAGAATCCTCAAAAATAAGTAAATAGAATTTAGTCCTACACTAAATTCCTCCATAGTCAGGGAGTTCCTTTCTTTTCTGCTTTTCAACAAACTTTTTAAAAATACATATGTACATACAAGTAAATAAAAGAAAACAGGCAAGGAAGGACTACTGCTTATACACTCAAGAAAAAGAATGTAAATAAATTGCTTCTATCAAAAAATTTCCCTTTACCAGACCAAAAATTATTGTAGTGGTAGATGAGTGACGTTTCCTACTTTAGTCCACTAGTAATAAAGTGGGCTGGAGCGATAGCACAGCGGTAGGGCATTTGCCTTACGCGCAGCCAGCCTGGCCGAGCCAGGTTCGATTCCTCCGCTCCTCTCGGAGAGCCCGGCAAGCTACCGAGAGTATCTCGCCAGCACGGCAGAGCCTGGCAAGCTCCCCGTGATGTATTCGATATGCCAAACACAGTAACAACAAGTCTCAAAATGGAGACGTTACTGGGTCCGCTCAAGCAAATTCAATGAACAACGGGAGGACTGTGACAGTGACAGTAATAAGTCACCTTTCTGTTCTCTATATTCTTTTGGGGGAGAAAACAAGATATTTTACCATTAGGTAAAGGAAGGGGCTATGAGTGTGATGGTTCAGTCATGGGGTTCCACACAGAGCTCTGGAGAAGCATCCGGGGATCACTGCTCTAGGGGGACATCCCTGAGCAGCTGGCAGCCAGCATGGGTGAATACAACAGAACCACCCAACAATTCACTCTCTCCTGACCCAGTCGGGGCGACTGCTGGAGATGGAACCTCATTCCAACCATCCTCAGGAGTGGCCTTAGAGATAAATGTACTTTTCACAGGAATTCCAAAAGACTTTTCAAGTTTTAAATTTTGCAAAGGAGAATTTCAATTTGGAAACTTTTTTCCCCCCCTTAAAAACCTTACAGAACAAGGAGCTGGAGCAATAGTATAGCAGGTTAGGGTATTTGCCGTGTACATGGCAGACCTGGGTTCAATGCCCAGCATCCCATACAATCCCCCCAAGTACTACCAGTAATTTCTGTACATAAAATCAGGAGTAACCCTGGGGGACTGTTGGGTGTGGCAAAACAAAACAAAACAAAACAAAACAAAACAACCAAAAAAGAAACCTCACAGAACAAGTTTTTCCACTTGTAGTCTCTGTTTAAGCCGAAGGCAAAATACTGTAACTACAGGAATTGAATGAAGCCACGTCTGGCCTATCTGCTCGATATGTGACTTGCCTTCTAGGGAAAGTAACAACAAAATACCACACTTTTCATTAGCACTGTGAATAGGTAAATAATGAACATGTGGTGTTCCATCACTTTGCTTCTAACTTACACGCATCTTCTCTGTGAAAAATCATGATGAAACTAGCCCTCTCCTACAAACTCATTCACCCATAAATATAACCAGAGAACGTCTGCCTACTATGTGAATGAAAAAAAGCTCTTGGGGCTGGAGCGATAGCACGGCGGGTAGGGCGTTTGCCTAGCACGGGGCCAACTGGGGTTCGATTCCCAGCATTCCATATGGTCCCCCGAGCATCGCCAGGAATAATTCCTGAGTACAGAGCTAGGGGTAACCCCCGTGCCCCTGTGCATTGCCAGGTGTGACCCAAAAAGGGAAAAAAAAAAAGCTCCACTCTTGGAATTATCTTGCCTTATGATTTATTTTTGTGTTTTTTTTGTGGGGAGGGGTCATGTGACAAATACAACTATGAAAAAAGTAAAAAACAAAAACAAAACCCTATATTCAGGGCTTACTCCGGGCTCTATGCTCAGGGAATCACACCTGTAGGGGTCAGGGACTATATGAGGTGCCAGGGATCAAACCTGGGTTAGGTACAGGTAAGCAAGTGCCTTAATCACTGTGCTATTTCTCTGGCCCCTACAATTTCTTCAAGCTTCTGAGGGACAGGATAGGGTAGGAAGATTGGTCCTGAGTGTAGAGCTTGGCCTTACACGTGCTAGATGTGTGTCCGACAGAGTGAGCTATGTCCCCAGTCCTGAACTGTAATTTTGGAATGGTGATTTTGGTCATGTGACAAACAGCAACCATGAAAAAAAAATCAATTAAAAATAGAAAAAAATGGTGGTGGAAAATATGCATCGGTGAAGGGACAATTGTTGGAACATTGCGTAACTGAGATTCGATCATGAACCACTTTGTAACTGTATATCCCATGGTGATTAAAACAAAACAAAAACCTTCCTAACAAAATACATTAAAATAAAAAGATAAATTTAAAACAGGAAAAACCCCACTCCACTATGTACAATGGTAGATATTATATATCTCTGCCATTTCTCTCCAGTATTCTCCTATTTTTTCTTTAAAAAATAAAATAAGATCTAGAGAGATAGTAAAGGGGTTAACTCAATTGCCTGGTAAATGGCTGAACCCAATCTGATCCCCAGCCCTGAATGGTCACTGGAATACCACTGGCAGGTACCCCGGAGCACTGAGCTGGGGCAGCCCTGGCTGGTATGTCCCAACCCCATCCCATCTTCAAGAAAACACAACAAAAACACAAGAACATAAATGGTTCTGCTAAAAATCATAAGATACTCGAACGATTTTTCAATTTTGGCTGTAGTCAGCAGTGCTGGAAATTGAACTTGGACAAAGCATGAGTTCCAGCTTGTTTCTGCAGCCACAAAATATTCCTTCTTGAACAAAGAGTAAGTAGAAGAGACAGGAAAACTCTCAATGGGATTACCAGGTTGTCACATCACAGAAAAGACTGGGGTGTGGAAGTGAGTCTAGGAAGCAAAGTCAGGATTAGAAAATTGTTTAAGATTCAAATAATATGTGAAAAGGAGTTATGTGGAAAGAGAATGGCCAGGGACCACAGAAGGCTTACAGGTCAGGGCCACGGAGACCTGTGCTCAGTGACCATTTGCTGGATGAGCGACAGAAAGAATGGAATAGAACACATACTGTGTAGCTGGTGGAACTGCTTTGTTTGGATACAGCCGCTTGGTACTTGGCCATTCGATCCTTGATGGAGGTTTCCGATAAGCGGGGCAACTCCAGAATCCGTCTACTTTCACTCTTCTCTGAGTTGAACGCAGAAGATGACTGCTGGCCTGGAAGCATGCAAATAATACGTTTTATTAGAAGATAAATATAATTCAGGCTGGAGCAATAATACAGTTGGGTAGGGAGCTTGCCTTGCATGCAGCTGACCCGGATTTGATCTCCTGAGCACTACCCCTGAGTACAGAGTTAAGCAGATTAAGCCCTGAGCACCAGTGGAAAGGGCCCAAAAAACAAAAATAAGATAATAATAACCTGAATGTTTTCAAGATTCTAAATTTTGGCTGGAGTTATAGCACAGCGGTAGGGTGTTCGCCTTACAAGCGGCCAACATGGCCGACCCGAGTTCGATTCCTCCGCCCCTCTCGGAGAGCCCAGCAAGCTACCGAGAGTATTCGATATGCCAGACACAGTAACAACAAAGTCTCCAATGGAGACGTTACTGGGCCCGCTCGAGCAAATCAACGATCAACGGGAGGGCCTTTACCTTTACCTTACCTTAATTTAATTTTTTTTTTTAAATTTTTATTAGTGAAACACCACGAGGTACAGTTGTAGACTTACAAATTTTTGTGCTTGGGTTTCCGTTATACAATGATCGAGTACCCATCCCTCCACCAGTGCCCATTTTCCACCACCAGGGATCCCAGTATCCCTCCCACTCCCCACCCCCCCCCCCCCCCACCTCACCCTGCCTCTGTGGCAGGGCATTCCCTTTTGTTCTCTTTCTCCTTTTGGGTGTTGTGGTTTGCAAAAGAGGCGTTGAGCGGCAATCATGTTCGGTCCATAGTCTACTTTCAGCGCCACACCTGGTGGTGCTTGGGGCTTAATTCTGACTCTGTGCTCAGGAATCACTTCTGGCGGGGCTTGGGGGACCTATATGGGGTCCCAGGGAATGAACCCAGGTAGGCTGCATGTAGGGCCTTACACACTGCACTACTACTCTGGTCCTCCTGCTTTTATTATTAGAATGTTGCTGATTTTCCTGTATCTGTTACTTTTATTTGATTCCTTTTGCATTCCTTTTGGGGGGCCTATACCCAGCATAGGCCCTCAAGGCTTACTCCTGGCTCTGTGATCAGGAGTGGGCTTGGGAGACCTTCTGGGGTGCCGGAGATAGAACTTAGGTTTGCTCTGTGAGAGGCAAGCTCCCTACCTGCTATACTATTGCTCTAGCCCCTAAACTTATGCTTTATTTAGTTAAAAATTTACATAAACCTTCAAAACATAATTATTTCACTTTCAAAGCTATGTTATATTACCACCAGTAATATATAATAAGCAGTCCCTTGAGTGTATGCGATAATGGGGATAGAACTCGGTCTCCTTTTTTTTTTTTTTTTTTTTTTTTTTTACTTTTTGGGCCACACCTGGCGATGCACAGGAGTTACTCCTGGTTCAAGCACTCAGGAATTACTCCTGGCGGTGCTCGGGGGACCATATGGGATGCTGGGAATCGAACATAGGTCGGCTTCGTGCAAGGCAAATGCCCTACCTGCTGTGCTATTGCCCCAGCCCCTCAGGGTCTATTTTTTTTTTGGGGTCACTCATCGTTGGTGCTCTGCACTCAAGGAATTATTCCTGGAGGTGCTAAGGGGGGCCATTTGGGGCTCCAGTGATCAAACCTGGGTTGGCTTCATGCAAGGCAAGCACCCTACTTGTTGTACTATTGCTCTGACAACCCAGGCTTAAGTAACTAGTGTTAATGGAGTAGACTGGCCATTCCTGGGAATCTTCAAACCCCAGGTGGTCATAGAGTCAAAACAGTTGGTAGCGCTTCCCTGGCAATCCCACAGTGGTATTCTTTGGTTAGCAAAGGTTGCCACTGTCAAGGATGAACTGAAAATAAAGAAAGGGTGGGGACTGTGGTGGTGGGTGGGGAAGGGATGACAGACGGGTTGGAGCACATGCTTTGCAAGCAAAAGTCCTCTGCTCCCAGCACTACTTGGGTCAGAGTGATTCCTGACACAGCTGGCACTAGCCCCCTCACAGCTTAGTGTGGCCACCCGAGAGTCCCCAAAATAAAAATACCGAGAAACGCCTGTTAAGCAAGCAATGAGATGTGGAAGTGGTTTGTATATAACAGATAGGCTTCTGTTTATTCTGTTGCCTTGGAGCCTAAAAGTTATGCTTCTAAGGTGGTGTTCTCAAGGAAAGGAGATACACAGGGATCTTCACTTACCTGTGCCTATTTCCAAATCATCCAGAGAATAGCTGTTCTCCGAGATCCTCCTTCCACCAGGACTTCTGCTGCTTTGGACCCTGAGAATCTGTTTAGAAAACAAAAGCTAATAATAAGCCACGCAAAAGATAGGGGAGACTGTTTATGCGATCATGTTAAAAAAAAAGAGGCGGGGGGGTGGGAGGGATACTGGGACCCATGGTGATGGAAAATGGGCACTGGTGGAGGGATGGGTACTTGATCATTGTATAACTGAAACCCAAGCATAAGAATTTGTAAGTTTACAACTGTATACCTCATGGTGTTTCACTAATAAAAATTAAAAAAAAAACATAAAAACCACCTTGGACAAACGAAGGGTGTGCATATGCTGCCTGAGCCCATGTGCTGCTTGTACCCATGGGTCAAGCACATGTGCCGCTCACATTTCCCTCTTGAGCTGTACTTTCATGCTTCTATAGCTAACGCTGGGGTGTGTAGAGGGGCTCTCTCTGCTCTTTGAGAAGTCTGCATTCTCCCTTGAATACGTTACTCTCTCTCGTATGCTTTCCCTTCTTCTCACCTTCTAAGACTTCCAAATAAAATGTTTTACTTTAAAAAAAAAAAGAGGCCTGCAAAATTGTTCTTTATAAATAAAATCCAGGAGAGATTTGACTGCCAGTATAATGTAGAAAATGATACAAATTGGAGACTGGAGAGATGTACAGCCAGTGGTAACCTTCCATGTTGCTGATCTAGGTTCAATCCCCACCACCACCACATATAGTCCCCTGAGCACTGCCAGGAGTGATCCCTGAGCCAGAGCCATGAGTAGGCCCTGAGAACAGCCAGGCATAGTGGCCCCAAGCACCCTCTCTCTCTCTCACAAAAAAAAAAGTTTGCAAAAGCATATTACTGGTCTAGCAAATGGTTGCTCCTACAAGACTCTGAAACCACATTCCCTCTGCCCTACAGAAATCTGACTTGTTCTTCCTCAAAGTATATTCACAGTTTTAGTGAAATACTTATCAAATGGTTGCTATAATTTGTGACAACTGGACTGGAAGCTAAGTACAGAATCCATGCTTTTTCCCCCCAACAAAATAACAGCCTTTAAAAGTATAGATTTTTCAAATAAAGTATTTAGTGATTTCTATAATTTACTACTTTTTCTTTCAGGGCTAGGGTAGATTTCTTTCTAATTAGAGTATTGTCTCTGGACCCAAAATGAGACCACTTTAAAAAGCTTTTACAGGGGCTGGCGCATAGCACAGTGGGTACGGCGCTTGCCTTGCACATGGCCGACCTGGGTTCGATTCTCAGCATCCCATATGGTCTCCTGGGCACTGCCAGGAGTAATTCCTGAGTGCAGAGCCAGGAGTAACCCCTGTGCATTGCCGGGTGTGACCCAAAAAGGAAACAAAAAAAAAAAAAGAAAAAAAAGCGTTTACACAGGGATTAAGCTGATAGTTCAATGGCTTAAGTGTGACTGCCTGGGAAGCACACGGCATAAAGCCTAGAATTCAACACCTGGCGTTGCAAGCAATTTTCAGTTCAGAGACGAAGAACCTGAACTAAAGGAGTGTGACCCCTGGCAAGCATCACAACTGAAAATCATGTGAGCATCATAAGCAGGAATGTGAGCATGACCCCTGGTCACTGCAACAACAATAATGAGGGGAAAGGAAGGGAGATAGAGTTACACAGGAAAAAAAAAACAAAGAAAAATCCCAAAACCCCACAAAACCAAAAAAGCAATATATTACTTGAGAGAAGATTTACACAGCATACAAATGACAAGGAGTTATTATTAAAAAATGGAGAGAGAAGTCACACAACTCAACAACAAAGCATCCCAGTTTTCAAAAATGGTCGGAAGACTTGAATAGATACTTCACCTAGGAAGACATACAGAAAAAAAATAATTCAAGAAAACTTATTGAGGGAATGCATATCAAAATCATAATGATTTGCATTTTGTGGTTTGCACAAAACCACAGGTATTCTCACCTTATGCCTGTGAGACTTACTGATATCAAAAAGGACAGAAAACAGAAAAAAATGTGGAGAAAGAAGAGCTTTTTTATTTATTATTCTGCTGGAGATCAAATCTAGGACCTCACACATGCAAGGTATGTTCTTTGCCACATTCCAGTCAGTTGGAATGTAAGTGATTGCAGTTTCTGTGGGAAATGGGATGGCAATTCTTTTTTAATTTTTCCATTAGAGCTGGTACGGTGCTTGATTTTGTGCAGCTGACCTAGGTTTGATCCCCAGCATACTGTATGGTCCCCTGAGCAACACAAGGAGTGATCCCTGAGTGCAGTGCCAAAAGTAAGCCTTGAGCACAGCTGGGAGTGACCCAAAACCCAACTCCCTCCCCGACAAAAAGAAATATATTATTCAGCAATACTACTTCTAGGCATTTATTCGAAGAATATGAAAACGCTAATGTGAAAGGATAGTTGAACCTCTGTGTTTGCAGCATTAGTCACAACAGGCAAGACGTGTAATTGATCTAAATACCCATCAACGGATGGCTGAGTAAAGAAAATACGGTCTATAGATGCTTTTATTTTGGTGTGGGGGGATCACTGCTGGCAGGCTTGGGAGACACATCTGGGGTGCTGGGACTGAACCCAGGGCAGCCGCGTGTAGGCAAATGCCTTACTCACCGCGCTCTCTCCAACCCCAATATATACTCTTTTTTTTTTTTAGGTGGGGAGGCTCCCAAGAAATGCTCAGGGAGTCCTGAGCCACTTTTGGTTATACTTGGTCAAGCAGACCCCCATGGTTCACGGGTCAACATTGAAATAGTTCAATTGCTCAGCATCATAGGCTGCTGGAGGCCACCTCGGTCATCCCCAGTAGTGCTGGGGTGACATGTGGTACTGGGATTGAATTTGGATTGAACATGTAAAGCATGCATTAAAGCTTCTGTGACTCTCTTTTCAGTAGCTTTAGGGCCATACCCAGTGGTGCTGAGGGGTGGCTCCCAGCAGTGCCAGTAATTTAACCTGGGGCTTCTACAGAAGTTCTGGCCAACCATCTGAGCTCTATCCTGGCTACAAGTTATTTATTGTCTTAGTATTGGGGACAAATCTGGAGGTGCTCTGGGGTTCATACAGTAGACAGGGCCACTCTTTGCAGTGTGTTGTGGGACCTTTTTTTTTTTCTTTTGGGTCACACCTGGCGATGCTCAGGGGTTACTCCTGGCTTTGCACTCAGGAATCATTCCTGATAGTGCTCAGGGGACCATATGGGATGCTGGGAATTGAACCTGGGTCGGCCGCATGCAAGGCAAACACCCTACCCGCTGTGCTATCACTCCTACCTGCTGTGCTATCACTCCAGACCCTGTGGGACCATTTGGTACCAGAAATTAAACCCAAGTTTCCCATCCCAGGCTTCAAATGAGATGGCTTTTATGTGTTCAATTCCAAATCACTTAAGTACAGAGAATAACGGGCTGGAGTGATAGCACAGCGGGTAGGGCGTTTGCCTTGCACGTGGCTGACACGGCCAACCCAGGTTCGATTCCTCCGGCCCTCTCAGAGAGCCTGGCAAGCTACCAAGAGTATGTCTCCTGCAAGGCAAAGCCTGGCAAGCTACCCGTAACGTATTTAATTTGCCAAACACAGTAACAAGTCTCACAATGTTACTGGGCCCGCTCGAGCAAATTGATCAACAACGGGAGGACAGTGACAGTGACAGAGAATAACAAGATCTGGCTATACTTATAATGAATTTTCTGATCATTCTTTTACAACTGGCAGTCTGAGGCACAGGAAGAAGGAGGGGCATCCTCTATTATTTCTCAAGGAAGTGAAGCAGCATAGAAAGAAGGAAAAAAAACCTCAGGGATTTTGACATTGAAATCCCCTCCTGTAACACATTTTAATCACATTTGGTCTTTTTATTACTCAGATCCTGGAGAGGGCCTTAATCATCACATGCTGGTAAGAGAAGAAATGACAGGACACTTTGAAAACTTTCTGGAACTTCCTCAGGCTTGGCCTCACCCCACCCATGTTCTTTTTCCTGTCAGCTGACTACAATAACTTTCATTAATGTGAACATCCCTTAAATATTCATCTGAATCCATAGATGCATCAGTGTGTACCAGTATGAGAATAAGAGTTTGGGGCCTTTAACCCTTAACAGACTTTTATGTTTTGACATACTTTTAATAAGACCACTGAATTTCACAATTGTAGAATTTTTTCACCTGGAAAAATTTTTGTGAAGAAATAAAATTAGGTTCCAATAGCTAAGTAATAAAGTAGGATTTCCTATTCCTGGTTCCCTAATTTTCAGGAAAAATATTCTTCTTCCCCTCCCCACCCTGCCCCCCTAGAGGAGGGACCATACCTGACTTTGCTCAGGGTTTACTTCTGGCTCTGTGTATAAGGATCACTCCTGGGGGGCTTCGGGACACATGGGATGTTGATAAGCCATGTGAAAGGCAAGCACTCTACCCAATCTCTCTAGCCCCTCTAAAATCTGCTTTAAATGCTGATTCTCAGCACTTGAATTAATGAGGGCTTCTGTCCTTTCTCCTCTACTTCTTCCAGTCTTTTAACTTTAATCTTCCTTCAGATATTCATCCCTCTAAAATCAAGGATGAAGGAAAACTGGGATTTTGCTGAACATGGGATTATAAAATGTAGAGAAAACAGGCTTAATCCCTCAGTGTCCTTAAAAATAAGCATTTCTCTCTCCAGGGATACTTTTAGGGAAAAAAAGAAAAGAAAAGGTAAGGTGCACTTTTTAAGCATTTTAAAAGCTGCAGGGGCACTTATCAATATCTATCTCTTTTTTGAGGGGTTGGTCCATATCCAGTGGTGCTCAGGGCTCTGCACTCAGAGATCACTCCTGGCAAAACTTAGGGACCATGGAATACTGGAGATCAAACCCAGGTCATCCAGGTGCAAGGCAAGTGGTTGACCTGTTGTAGTATCTCACAAATAGGTATATATTTTTATATACTTATTTCTTGATATTTTCTATATTTCTAAAGTGTTGTATAAAAATTATAGTACTTTGTATTTATTAAATTAATAAAAACAGAATATTGATAAGACTGGGAAGGAGGTGTTAGCTCAAAAGGCACATGCTCTGTGCTCTGAGCATATGTGGGAGGTCCTGGTTTAATCCTTATCACCACATGGTTCACTCAGCACCACTGGGAGTGATCCCTAACTAGGCCAAGACTAACCCTTAATACTGTCCTCAAACCAAAAACAACAGTAACAAATGCTGATAAAGTTCTGGGAAATTAAATAGGCACTTAGTTATGCTACTAATTCCTTAACATCTTTAAGAATAAATTTTTTTTTGCTTTTTTTGGGGTCACACCTGGCAATGCACAGGGGTCACTCCTGGCTCTGCACTCAGGAGTTACTCCTGGCGGTGCTCAGGGGACCATATGGGATGCTGGGAATTGAACCCGGGTCGCCCGTGTGCAAGGCAAACGCCCTACCCGCTGTGCTATCTCTCCAGCCCCATTTGAGAATAAATTTAAAATATGTACAAAGATATGTATAACTTTTGACAATAATAGCATCACTTGATTAATCCCTAATGAGCCAAAAACAAAAAGGGTTCTATAAACATGCTTAGAGCTTTTTTTATAGGTCAGAAGAATCTAATTACTGGGGAATTATTAAATTATATAAGGGAATGTCACATAGACATAAAAGGATAGCTATACGAACTAGGAAAATCCACAGGAAGTTCTACATAAAAAAGAACCAAACAGAAGATAAAATTGTGAGCACAGAGTAACTACAGTCATGTGAAAAGCAGTTATGAATGATAAGCTTATCTTCATGCAAAGTTGGTGATTACTTTGTACATAAGGAGAAGCAAACCTCCCTAACCCATAAGCTTTTGGGGGGGGGAAGAGTTTTAGTACAAATCTCTTGCATTCCAATCTCTTCATTGCCCTGATGGTTTATATTAAGCTAAGACTATAAAAAGGGAAGATAAGAGAGCTAAAATCTTGGAGAATGCAGATGTTTAACAGCTGTTTTAAATTTTTTCTTGTTTACTTAGATGTTTCCCCTCTCTTCCCAAATACTGTCTTCCTTTTCAACTTCTAGGCTGTTGCCTATGCTTGACTTATAAAACCATAGTCATTTGCTTTTAAAGCAGTTGTAATATATGGTGGAGTGACGCTCAGTTTCAGTCCTTAATCAGCAATCTGACTTTAGTAATGTCGCATATCAGTTTATTTCTCTGACCTTAAATAGGAAAATAGGGATTTTATTTCCTAATTTCATGAGAGCAATGATCTGGATTAGATAAGAGTTCCTCAGAGGTTAGAGAGGAATGACGCATGCTTTATACGCAGCCAACTTCGGTTTGATCTCAGGCACTGCCAGGAGTGACCCCTAAGTATAGAGTCAGGAATAGTCCCTAAGCATCACCAGGTATGGTCCAACAACAAGAGTTCCTTAGAGATCCCTAAGATCTGTAAGTCTTTTTTGGGGGGGAGGACGGGGTGCTAAGAGGTTATATCTGGTGGTTCTCCAGGGACAACATAAGCAGTGCTGGGATTTGAACCATTTTTACATCCACGGCCTCATCCAAGTCAAGTATCTTAACGACTGAACTATCTTACTGGTCCCCATGATTTTTTTTTGTTTTATTTTGGGGTCACAGCTTGGTTCTCAGAATTTACTCCTGGTGGTGCTCTGGGGGCCACGTAACAGTGCCGGTGCTAGTCACATGCAAGGCAAGCACCTTAATCTCTATACTGTCTTTCAGTCCTTGGACCCAATGATCCTAATGAAAATTTCTCACTCATCATAACTCATCCATGAGTTAAGAAGATGGAGGAAATGACTCTTCAGTAGATTAACTGAGATACACACCTGTGTTGTCTAATCTAGGCACAAGTCCAACTATTTGAGACAGCTCCTCCAAACTAGAATGGAATCACCATTGCTTAGAGAAAATTCCAGTGTCTAAAATTACTTTTATACTTGTCTCACTTTATTGAAATTATCTAGAAATCAATAACTAGTCAGGAAAATAACAGAAAAGAGATGGCTGTCTCTAGTTGGAATACCAAGGATAGCCACTTAGCAAGACAGATCAGAATTCCTTGATACCTTCAAACCAGAACCCATTTATTATCTTACCACAAAAGACCAAAGAATTACTCAGAGCTACTAATTAAAGGTAAGTAAAACTTAATTTAATTGGCACGAGGTTTTACAAGAAGTGTACTACCATAGGGAAGAGTAAAAGAACACAGAACAGTTTTACATTTTGAAATTATAGAATAATAAACTGTAGGTATATTTATGAGAAAAGCCAGCCAAAAAAAAATCCCATCTAGTTTTACTAGGAAATATGAGAAAGATAGCATTGGAACTAAAAATAATAAAACTAAGGAAAAACAAAAAGAAAAACATACTGCTTGTAATTAACAAAATCAGCTATCCACTAGCAAAAATTTTTTGTTTTGGGGCCACACCCAGCAGTGCTCAGGGGTTCCTTCTGGCTCTGTGCTCAGGAATCAGTGGAATCAGGGTACCATATGGGATGCCAAGGATTGAACCATGGTGAACCATGTGCAAGGCAAGTGCCCTATCTGCTGTACAAACTTTCTGTCCACCCCCCCACTAGCAAAATATTGATTAGAGATTTATTGTTGGGTTAAATTAAGATGTTTATGATTCACTGATAAATAATTTAGAGCATTTGAGAGAATCTTCTCAAATTTTGTTGGGGGTGGGGGTGGGTTGGGGCACACCGGGCTGTGCTCAGGGCTTACACCTGGCTCTGTGCTCAGGGATCACTCCTGGAGATGCTGGGGGAACATATGGTACCCAGGATTGCCGTGTGCAAGGCAAGTGCCTTCACCCCTGTACTAGAGCTCTGGCCCAGACTTTCAGATATCTTTTTAAAATGTTTTTCATCAGCATTCACTACAAGGTCTCATTGAGCAATTTGCTGTTGTTCTTTTGGTTTCACTAGGATGTGGAAGGGAAATAATCCTAGTGCTTTCTGTCCGTTTCTGTGGCAGTCAGATTGAATAGGGGAGAACATCTACAGTCTAGACATTTGTTCAGTGCTTCATAGGAAAAGTGTTCACTCTCCTCTTTCCTTATTTTTACAGTAACAAATTCGACAGTTACTTTGGAACTATCTCTTCACCCTTACTAACTGATGCTTTTCATCCACACAACAACAGGAAGGCAGGGACTGTCGTCATCTTGAGTTCTTCATATAGCCTGACCTTGATTTATTTGGACTGGAGTAATTTTTTTTCTTTTTTGGTCATACCCAGCGATGCTCAGGGGTTACTCCTGGCTCTGCACTCAGGAATTACTCCTGGCAGTGGTGGGGGACCATATGGGATGCTGGGGACCGAACCTGGGTCAGCCATGTGCAAGACAAATGCCCTACCCGCTGTACTATCGCTCTGGCCCCAGTGGAGCCATTGCTTTTAAGAAAAAAAAATGCCTCATGCCTTGTAGGTTGTCTAAAACTAAATAATTACAATTTTAAAAAAAAAGCTTTCGGGGTCTGGAGTGATAGCACAGCAGGCAAGGTGCTTGCTTTGCATGCTGCTGACATGGATTCAGGTTCAGTTCTCAGTAACCCATATGGTCCCCATGGCCTGCCAAGAGTAATCTCTGAGAACAGAACCAGGAAGAAGCCCTGGGCACCATTGAGTTTGGCCCCAAAACATTTTTTTTTTTTTGCTTTCTGGGTCACACCCGGTGATGCACAGGGGTTACTCCTGGCTCTGCACTCAGGAGTTACTCCTGGTGGTGCTCAGGGGACCATATGGGATGCTGGGAATCGAACCCATATGGGTTGGCTGCGTGCAAGGCGAATGCCCTACCCGCTGTGCTATTGCTCCAGCCCCAACAAAACATTCTTAACAAAATTGGTTTGGGGGCCTGGCTCAGTGCTCAGGGGTTTCTCCCTATGGTGCTTGGGAACCACATAGCACTAGGGACCAAACATGGGCCTCCAGCATGCAAAGCATGTGCTCCAGCCCCTTGAGTCATCTCCTCAGGTGTGGGGTTTTGGGTCATTCCCCAGGCTCAGGGACTGCTCCTGGCTGTGCTTGGGGACCCACGTAGATTGAACCCAAGCTTCTTCCACACAAAGCACTTGTTCTGGCCTCTTGAGCGGTCTCTTCAAGTCCTCATCTTTTGATTCTCCCAGTAAAGATGAGGTGCCCATGCCTATTCTTATTATGTGAAATCTTCCCTTTTTCATGACCCCAGGACCCTTGACACAAGGAATATATCGCAGCTGCCAGAGAGATGTTATACTATTTAGATAGTACAGAGGATAGTGCACTTGCCTTCACATGCTGAGCTGGGTTCCAACTCCTGTACCCCATATGGTCCCCTGAGTTTCACCAGGAGTAATTCCTGAGTGAAGAGCCAGGAGTAACCCCTGAGCACTGCTGGGTGTGGCTTCCCCCCTCCAAAAAAGATAAGTATCTGAGGTCCGCCCTATTTTTCTTTTTCTTTTTTGGTGATTGGGCCACATCTGGTGGTACTTGGGGGGATACTCTGCCTCTGAATTTAGGGATCACTTCTGTTGGGTTCAGGGGTCTATAGACCTCAGAGGTGCTGGAGATCAAACCCAAGACTGTTGTGTGCAAGGCTTTACCTGCTGTATTGTCTCTCTGCACCCCATATCCCTATTTTTTTTTTTAGAATTTACAGCCAAGTAAATATGCTAATAAATTGATTTCCTTTGCTAACCTCTCTGATGCTGCTTTCATTGCTTCTCCAGCCTGAGATAAACCTAGAAGGGTTAGAAATTTCCCTTGCTTCCCAGTACCTATCAGACTTGAAAATGACTTTATCATTTTTACCTGGCATGAGAATTAAGGAGCCTGTGCAAGCTCTGTACATGGGTTTGTTCATTCCCAAGAATGAAAGAGGAGATTTGTAATATTGGAATAATCAAATTCTGCCTCGAAAGCTTATGGATTCAGGGGACAGAGGGGAGACAGGGAGACAGGGAGAGGAGGAGAGAGGAGGAGAGAGGGGGAGAGAGAATATATTTACATATTTTGCATGCAGAAGGCCCTGGGTTTAATCGCTGGCACCACATGATTCCTCCCAGAGTACCACTGGATATGACTTCAAAACTGACAAATTAAACTAAATATTTAGGCATTAGGTGTAGTCTATGGCACCACATATAGTCCTCCAAGCACTGCCAGTATGACACGTGACATAGTGTCTCTAAACACTGCGGATTTTGGCTCAAAAACCTGAAATAAGATAAAATAAATCTGGGCTGGAGCGATAGTACAGCAGGTAGGGCATTTGCCTTGCATGCGACCAACCTCAGTTCTAATCCTTGGCATCCCATATGGTCCCCGAAACAAAAAGAAAAAAAAAGATAAATTAAAGCTTATGGATTCAATATGACAACTGCACATTGGTTGTAAGTGGATGATAAGTTTCTTTACATAAGAGGTTATCCAGAATTGTCACCTTGGCTATTTAAAACCAAGATCAATTTACACATTTAGGTGGGGACAGTAAATGACACTGTTTATGTCAATGAGAAGTTTCTTTTTTTCTAGTAAAGATGATAGGTTACATTATTCCAGCAACCACATTTTGTTCATAGGAACCAGAACCGTTATGCTCAACTAAAGCACCTGGTCTAACTATTCATTAAAGGGAGAAATTAACTTAAATATATTTAATGAATTTTCATTACCTTGTTTGAGTTCTAGGCCTCTGTTCTTTTTTTTTTTTTCTCTTTTTGGGTCACACCCGGCGATGCACAGGGGTTACTCCTGGCTCTGCACTCAGGAATTACTCCTGGCGGTGCTTGGGGGACCATATGGGATGCTGGGAATCGAACCCAGGTCGGCCTTGTGCAAGGCAAGCGCCCTACCTGCTGTGCTATCACTCCAGCCCCTAGGCCTCTGTTTTTTTTTATAAGATAAATATAAAATAAAATTCTCACCACTACGCTAGCTATTGGGGAACAAAACTTCCTTGAGGATGTACAGATGACATAAGAGCCCACAGAGAATATAAATTCTACAGGAGGGCGAAGTTAACTGCACTAGGACTAAATAAAGAAAAGGTCTTATAGTCTGAATTGAACTTGAGGAACAAGATCTCAAAAAGGTGGGGCTGGAGCAATAGTACTGCAGGTAGGGAGTTTGCCTTGCACGTGGCCGACCCAGGTTTGATTCCCAGCATCCCATATGGTCCCCCGAGCACTGCCAGGAGTAATTCCTGAGTGCAAAGCCAGGAGTAACCCCTGAGCATCGCCGGGTGGGACCCAAAAAGAAAAAAAAAAGATTTCAAAAGGTAGCAAGGGGACTAGAGCGATGGCACAGTGGATAAGGTACTTGCCTTGCATTAGGCTGACTCAGGTTTGATCCCTGGTACCACATATGATCTCCTCTTCCTGACAGCAGAGCCAGGAGTAAGCCCTAAGCACTGGGTATGGCCCCCAAACAAAACGAAAACCCCAAACAGCAGCAATTAATTGGGGGAAAGGCATGACTTTTTTTTTCTTCTTCTTTGAGAGGGGCCTCCCATGCAGTGCTCAGGAAGCCCAGGGCCAGTTTTTTTTTTTTTTTTTTTACTGGGGCCAGTACATTGGATAAGGTGCTTGGAATGCACACAGCTCACCCAAGTTTAATCTTTGGCATCCTATAATGTCTCTCAAGCACCTCTAGGAATGATCCCTGAGCATAAACCCAGGAGCAAGTGCTGAGTGCCACTAGGTTTGGACCCAACCAAATTAACAAGCAAAAAGAAACAAAAACAAAACCGACAAACATCTGAAATCTATTTCCCTTAAAGCCCTTGCATCCTGCTGGGCCAGTGCTGACTTGGGAGTCCCTAGAGTAGACCTGTCTCACCCGCTTTGAGTGCGGGAATGGAACTGTCTCAGCCTGGTGACCTTTCAGTGCTGCCATGGCCCTTGTGGACAGGTCCCTGCTGTCCTGGGAAAGAAAGAAAACATGAGGCTATAATCAGGCTGTAGTGGCTGGAGAGATAGTACAGTGAGGAGGGCATCTTTGTTGCATGTGATCAACCTGGGTTTGATCCCTAGCACCCCATATGGTCCCCTGAGCCTTGCCAACAGTGATCCCTGAGCACAGAGCCGGAGATCCCTGAGCATTGCAGGGTGTGGCCCAAAACCAAAACTAAAACCAGTCTGACTTTGATGCTCACGGGATAACTTCTGGCTCTGTGCTCAAAAGGTCATATTTGGTGTGGAGGGTGGGGTCAGGCATTGAACCAAGGTTGACCACACGCAAGACAAGCACTTTAACCCCTGTACTGTCTCTCTGCACCAGAATCCATTTTGAGAGACTTGAAAAAGTATATTCCAGGGCTGGATCAATAGCACAGAGGGTAGGGCATTTGCCTTGCACGCTGCTGACCCGGGTTCGATTTCCAGCATCCCATATGGTCCCCTGTACACCACCAGGGGTAATTCCTGAACGCAGAACCAGGAGTAACCCCTGTGCATTGCTGGGTGTGCCCCAAAAAGCAAATAATTAAAAAATTAAAAAAGTATATTCCAAGGAGATGTGACAATAGAGACCTCAAGTGTGTGGCTGACCCCAGTTCAATCCCCTGTACCACATACAGCCCCCAAGTATCACCAGGGATCACCAGGCATGGGATAGCTAGTCAGGGTGTGAGCACAGCACCCAGCCTGCAAAAAAAAAAAAAAAAAAAAGAAAAAAAAAGGAAAGAAAGTTAATAAGTTAATTTTGTCTCCTGTCAATAACTCTGAGAGGAAGATGGAAAAAAAAAACTGTATTCCAGACCCTGTGCTCCCTGCCCCTGCTTTGCTCATTAACTGCGATTCGGAGCAGTATTCTGAAAATAATTATGGAACTAACGGTTCACAAAATGCAAACTCACTCTAGTTAGTTTGTTAAGTCTGAAGTTACTAAAGTTAATTTAATTTGGTAGGAGGGGCTGATGCCCAGAAGTACTCGGGGACCACTCTTGGAGGTGTTCAGGGGACCAAATGTGGTGCTGAGGCTGAACCCGGGTTGGCCACGTACAAGGCAAGCATGTTACTTGCTTTAGTATCTCTCAAGCCCCTGAGTTATTATTATTATTATTATTATTATTATTTTGCTTTTTGGGTCACACCCGGCGATGCACAGGGGTTACTCCTGGCTCTGCGCTCAGGAATTACTTCTGGCGGTGCTCAGGGGACCATATGGGATGCTGGGAATCGAACCCGGGTCGGCTGCGTGCAAGGCAAACACCCTACCTGCTGTACTATCACTCCAGCCCCCTGAGTTATTTTTTTAACATAAGGTAAATAAACCTTATTTTTGGGGCTGTTGTTGATCACACCCAGCAGTGGTCAGGACATACTCTTGGCTCTAGAGCCCTAGCAGGGCTCTGGGGACTACATGGGGTGCCAGGGATTGAAACTGAGTCTGTCACGTGCAAGTCAAGTGCCCTACCCTCTGTACTATCACTTGGGCCTGAAGAAAATCAAGGTTTTTACATTATAATTGTGGAGTACTATTGAAAAGTTTTTAATCAAGATGTCCTCAGGATAATGATGTTCATTTAGAAACAAGAACTGTTGTGATTTATACTCCCCAAGGAATCTGGTGATCAGTGACTATATAATCAAAGAAGTTTTATAAGGTACCCCAAAGTTCAGGCCAATCTTAGAAACCCTCCATCTTCCTAAACCGTTAGCAACCAGGATACCCAGAGTCAGCAGAGATACAGCAGAATTCTTCTTTGAAGAGTTTTTCTCCACCCGAAAGAACTAGGCTTGTTCTGACGCATCTCTCATCAAACATTTCTGAGAAGAGTCTCTCACCAGATCCTTACACATAATCAGCATTTTTGTTTGCTGCAATCCCAGTCATTTCCTACCTCGGGCCAGTTTCAACATGCACTGAATCTACATTGTGTGTGCTGGCCTGACATCAGCTGTCTTGCCCCTAACAGGGTCTGAGAGAGGAAACTTACAATGGTGCTTTGAGGCACAACAAAGCCCCTTCCTCTCCATTTAAGATTTCTGACATTCCCCCCTTCCACTTAAAATTCTTCTTTCCATTGAAATTTTTTTTTTGAAATTTTAAATTAAGAACATAAGGGGAAAGAAGGAGTTGGTTGTTGGCTTAAGAGAACTGAAAATTGAGAGGGAAAAGAGCTTAAGAAAAGTCATAAAATTGCTGTGTGGTTACATTTCTTGCCAACTGGGTTCAGCGTTAAAGTAGAAGTAAAATTTAACAGGGAAAAGGGCTCTACTTTTTCAGCCTTTAAAGAACTATTTCCACATCCTCAAATAGATGCTCCCAAACTTCAGAACTTAATTTTTCGTATGTATGGTGCCAGGGATCAAACCCAGGGTCTCACACATGCAAAAGAAGTGTGAAAAGATCTTTCAAGCACTTTCCCAGGCGTGAAAGCAACAAGTCTTTCAAGATAACGGAAGAGCTTGTTGACTAAGTCACAGCAAACATAACTCAAGGGGCTCAGGATGAGTTATCCAATTTTTATCTCAGAAAGAATGCTTCGTATTATTACTTCTCTAAATATAGGGAGTTAAGCCAAATATTTAGTTTGAAAAGTACTGGCTTTCCCATCGAGATGGAATTTGATGGCTTTGCTCCCTGTCAGATGTTTATTTCATTATAATGACTGTTGTAACATACCATCCCCCTGTACAAAGCCAGATATGCAGGAAAGTATGAGAAAACTGGAAAAATTTACCAGCACCACTGGCCCCTGGATTGTGTTATAAATCACCAACATATGTAACTCATTTTCTAGTTAAGTAATTCCCTCTGGGGACTGGGTCTGCAATCCACATGAAGGATCAAATTTCATTAGCAGTTGTAGGAAAATGCAACCCGGTACATTTGCAAGTCAAAACTCCTGAAGGCCACAGCTAGTCTGGCTAACTTCAATGATTTTCCCTGCGAGAGAATTTTAGCTGATAGAAAACATTTGTTGGAAGACGCGGATGAGGAAGTTGAGAAGAAGAAAAAGGGATTCAGCTAGCAAAGAGACAACTAAGCTCAGTCTTAATGGTAAACTCTGGCCTTAACGCTCGGCCTGCAGCTGTGTCTCAGTGGAGAGGTTCAGCAGTAATTCCACCCCCAAGGGCTACAAATGACAAAGGCACAGAAAGACAAGCTTTGCAACGCAGGAGGCCAATTAGATGCCTGGCACTGCAAGGTCCCCCTTGGAACACCAAAAGGGGCGACCCCACCCTACCACAGCAGACGCCCCCCTCCCAAGCGGAGTGGGGGAGGGGAGCAAGTATGAAGCTAGAAGTAGCCACTGAGCACTGCTGGGTGTGGCCCCCAAACAAACAAAACCACCAACAAAAAAAGTCCCCAAAAGCACAACCTAATCAGTATCAAATTCTCTTCGATTCTAGATATTAACCCACATCCCAGAGTGTACTTGATTTCTGGTAAAATTGGGTCAGAGGCTCGCCAACCTTACGAAGAGTTCGTCTGACTTTAGTTAACCCATCTAACTTGAGTTAACTCATCGGACTGAAAGACCTACTGATCCCACATTCGCCCCTACTGTAGAAAACCCATTTTTCGTTTAGTTTTTTGAACTGTCTTTCAAACCCACTCAGTCCTTACCTTGGTTGGAGCTGGTTCACCTTTCTCAAACATCATCTTCAGCCTGTTCAGCGGAACATTATATTTCTCGACTTTGTTGGCAGCTTCTGCGTTTTCACTGTTTTCAGGTTTTCCTCCTTCATGCCTGGATTCTCCCAGACAATTTTCCATTTTTTCACTTTCCGTTGAGCTCTGTTCACCGTCCCGGATGTGAGAATTCCGAGAACGGGCTTCAGGCAGTGATCTGAAGCTAGCTCTGGGAAGGACTGGCTCCTTTTGGTCAGCCCTGAGCCCTGGATCAGAACTGCTGGCCACTTCGACGGGAGGAGGGTGGCCTCGGGGTCTGGTCTCAGTGCTGCTCTTCTGCAGGGAGTCTGTGCGAGCTACCGGGCTCTCCCACTTCTCCTTCAGCTCAGACAGGATCCCCCTTCTAAAGTGCTGGGGGGGAGTTTCAGTGTTCTAGACGAACAAGAAGTAAGTGCCAGTTATAACTTGCCTGCTGAAACAGTCAAGCATGTTATTCTTTGCAAAATGAAAGTTAAGGCTCCGGAGTTGTTCCTGATCCACAGGCGTCTCAGGCAGCTGTGAACAGTTAGAGCTCTTGCCACATGGTGAAAGCATCCACCCGGGCAGAGGGAGAGGGGAAGAGAGAAAAAGTCTGGAGCTGAAGCAGGAAGTGATAAAACAGGATAACCTTATAAGGACAAAATAAGAAGAAAGGAGAGTCCAGATCTAATGATAGTTACGCTGAAGACAAGAGGGTTTTATTCAGATGTTAGTGAGGAAACAAAAAAGTAAAAGCCAATCCCAGATACTTTAAGCACAGTAGGTATGTAGGATAAAAGTTTCTCATTACATGTCATAAAATTACATGGTGAATTCTGCTGGTTTTATTTTTTTTTTTAAATAGGACAAAGACACATTACAGCTGGAACTATGCAATATCAATAATTCTAGATAGTGGTATCAAGGATTGAAACTATTTGTAGAAATTTACAGAAGTCACTAGACTTTAACATGCATTTGCACAAATATTTCATAGCTGACATAATTTACACGTATACACATTTTAAAATTTTCACATAATTTTTTATGTTTCCTGCTCTTTTCTACGTTTGTCCATTTGTAAATTCTCAGTGATCAGAAAACGCACAATTTGGCAGAAACTTTGGTTGAAAAATATTCAGTTTTCAGATGAAACACCACCACCACTACTCACTTTCACACACTTCCACATCTAAGGGGGTTCGCTTTCACCTGGGTCAATCAGAACTTAGACATGTAAAGCAGCTTGGAAATAACCTAAAGTTCATCACTGTTTCATAATGAAAAAAAATGGTTTGGTTATTGTTGTGGGTTTTTTTTTTTTTTGGACCACATCTTCCATGCTTGGCAGTTACTCCTGGCTCTGCACTCAGTAGCTACTCCTGATGATACTCAGGGAACCATATGGGATGCTGCGGATGGAACACTTGTTGGCCATATTCAAGGCAAATACTACCCACTGCACTATAGCTTCGGCCCTCATTATTAAATGTTCTGTTCTTTGTAAATTCTCCTGAGTAAACTGAGTAGCACTACCTTCCCAATGATTCATTCACGAACACCTTCTTGCCCTGCATTCCTTCCTGTAGCCTGGAACTCACTGGTTTTTCAACTAAGAAAGGACAAACCTCTAAGGACTGAAAGACTTCAGGGAATTAAATAGGATTAGCAGCTATATTTGGAACTAAGTCTCTCACCTATTCCTCTTCTGAATACAGTGAGAGTCACTACATCAAGGACCACCAAGGTTAAAAAAAAACTTTATGGAAGACCACTCTCAATTTTAGGGGTGAAATCTTAACTGACACACAAGCTGTTTCATTGGGGGAAGCATATGCGGATCAAAAGAAATATATTACTTTCTTGTTGGAAAAGAGAGAATTCAAATCCAGTCCCAGAAGCTCGCCCTGCTTTCCCGGCCAGCCACATTCTTGGCTGGATGCTACCTTCTGCTACACAATGAGTGATGAGTCATCTGGGGTCCGACTTCACCTGCCCTGCCCTACTCAAGCAGAAGAATCAAAGCGGCATTCTGCCTTGGTAACTGGACACTACTTTTCTCAGAAACAAATCATGGGATCAAAGTACATATTTTTTACATACTGAAGTGCAGATATTTTTTAGTAGGGAAAAAAAAAAGCATTTCCAGGGAGCTATGGACAACTGGGTAGTGCCTTGCACACAACCAATCCCGTTCGATCCCCAGCATACTGTATGGTCTCCTGAACCCTGCCAGGGCGATCTCTGAGCACAGAGCCAGGAGTAAGCCCTCAGTGCTGCAGGGTGTGTCTCAAAAATGAAAAATAAAATAAAATAAAAGCAAACTCAGTGAGCTCGTGCACATACTTTGCATGTGTGGAGGAGGCTCAAGTGTGATTCCGGTACTGAACGGCCCATACCCAGTCCAATGGGAGGGATTTCTGTAAAAAAAATCCCTGAACTAGAAGCAGCCCTGAACACTAATGGGTATGAACCCCAACAACAACAATAAGCTGGGGCTGGAGCGATAGCATAGCAGGAAGGGCGCTTGCCTTGCATGCAGTCGACCTGGGTTCGAATCCCAGCATCCCATATGATCCCCTGAGCACCGCCAGGAGTAATTCCTGAGTGCAGAGCCAGGAGTAACCCCTGAGCATCGCTGGGTGTGACCCAAAAACAAACAAATAAACAAAAAAACCCCCCCAAAAACCCCCAATAAGCTAATATAGAACAGCATGATCTCATTCTATAGTGAACATATATCACTGTCACTGTCACTGTCCTCCTGTTGTTCATCAATTTGCTCGAGCGGGCCCAATAACATTGTGAGACTTGTTACTGTGTGTGGCATATCTATTTATTTTAAAAAAGCAAATATATATATATATATATATATATATATATATATATATTGGGTTTGGGGCCACACCCAGCAGTGCTCCTGGTTCTGAGCTCAGATATCACTCCTGGCAATGCTTCGGGGACCATTTGTGGTGCTGGGGATTGAACCCATGTTGGTCATGTGCAAGGCAAGTGCCCTATCTGCTATACTATCTCTCTGGTCCCAGAAAAATGTCCTTGAAGAGCAGACATCAGGATATTAACAGGTTATCTTTTGGTCATGGATTATTTGCAGTTTTCTTTTAACAATGAATATGTATTCAGAATGTAATTTTAAAAATGAACAGATCGGGGAAACAGTTCAAGTGGTACATACCTAGCATACGTGAGGTCCTAAGTTCAATTCCCAGCAACACACAGCGTCCCCCTGCCTCAGCCTCTCACAATAATGTTTTTTCATATCTAAATCATTTTGATGTTGTTGTAAACATCATGAAAATGGGGCCGGGGGAGGGGGCGGGCAGTGAAATCGTATAGCAAGTAAGGAGCTTGTCTTGCATGCAGCTGATCTGGGTTCAATTCCCAGCGCCCCATATAGTCCTCAGAGTCCTGCCGGGAGTGCTCCCTGAGCGCAGAGACAGGAAGTAAGCCCTGAGCATTGCCGGGTGTGACCCAAGAAGCAAACGGCAACTAAAAAAATCATGAAAATTGTCTTTTTTCTTCCAGTGAAGCAAGATTTTTTTTTTTTAATTGAATGAAAGCCTCCTGGGGGGAAAAGGAAGGAATAAGTGTTCAGAAAGAACACAAGCTTGAAAGAGCCAGCAAGCAAAGAGACAGCACGATACGGTTGCAGGGCCCGAGTGCGGGTACAGCCTGTAACGCCACTTGCCTTGCACGCGGCCTACCCAGGTTTGATCTCTGAATGCAAAGCCAGGAGTAAGCCCTGAGCACTGCCTGTGTGGCCTCAAAGCAACAAACCTTCCCCCCACCCCCTACCCCAAAGGAAGATACATATTTAGGGGTAAAATGCGGGCTTAAAGGGGCAAGCTGAAAAATTGTCATCTCTACTTTATTTGATGACCAACGAGGAATTTACACAGTGGAATACCAGCAACGTCCCAAACAAGAATACAAATGTTGCGCATCCCACAGGACATTTCACCCAAATGAAAGGTGCTCTTTTATGAAATAGCCTCAGGGGATACCAAAGGCCATGTCTGGTGGTGCTGGGAAATGCCTGTAGCTGCCTGTAAGCCAAGTTCCTTGATCCCTTCACTCTCTCTAGCTTCTGAAAAGAAGCTTCTAAAGATACAAGTTCAAAAGTTAGCATGCGGGCAATGCTAACTTTTGCAAACCATTAAATCACTTGTCACTGTCACTGTCATCCCGTTATTCATCAATTTGCTCAAGCGGGCACCGCACCAGTAATGTCTGCATTCATCCTAGCCCTGAGTAAATAACAAGTCTCACAATGGAGATGTTTCTGGTGCCCGCTCGAGCAAATCGATGAACAACGGGAGGACAGTGCTACAGTGCCGTGCCCATTAAATCACTTAATCACTTAAATCATTCCTGTTAGCATTACCCAGCCCAGGGCAGATGACCAGATCTTAAGAATCAAGGCCAGTAAAGATGGAAAGAAATAAGTGGCTACAGACTTTCTGGGGAAGAAAGAGAGGCAAACATGTAGAGAACACGGGGGCTGGAGCAATAGCCCAGCGGGTAGGGCGTTTGCCTTGCACGCGGCCAACCCGGGTTTGATTCCCAGCATCCCATATGGTTCCCTGAGCACCGCCAGGAGTAATCCCTGAGTGCATGAGCCAGGAGTAACCCCTGTGCATCGCCGGGTGTGACCCAAAAAGAAAAAAAAATGTAGAGAATAGCCGAAAGCAGATTGAGCAACGCAGTGAAGAGCATTGTGCTCATTTTAGAGCACTTATACGGGATGTGTGAGGTTCTTGGTTTGACACCTGACACTGTAAAAAAAAAAAGTACTAGGCTGATACTACCTACCAAATATCAATGAATAATGGAACATGGGCCACCTGTGATTTTCTTTTTTTTAATCCATCTTCTATAATGAACATGTATTACTTACATAATCTAACTCCATTACAACCAAATGACCTTGGGCAAGTTTCTTAATTTCTAAAAATTACTATGGAGTTGGAGGCTGAGAGACATTATGTACACCTGCCTTGCATGCAGTTGACCTGGGTTCAATCTCTGACACCACATACGGTCCCCCAAGCTCTCTAGGAGCAATCCCTGAGTGCAGAGCTAGGAGTAAGCCCTGACCACAGCAACATGTGGTCCAAATACAAAAAAACTGTCACTGTCACTGTCCTCCCGTTGTTCATCGATTTGCTCAAGCGGGCCCAATAACATTGTGAGACAAAAAAAACAAAAAAACAAAAAATAACCCTCCCACCTACTGTAGAGGGCTATTATAGAAAATAAAAGAGAATTATGTGTAGTGCAGTATTTGGGATAAAGAAGCACCCCACCCAAATATTGACAATTATTATTCACATGTGGAAGCTGATGTGTAAACATTTTTCAAAGTGGATTTGGGGAACACAAAGTAAGGTGAA